CAATTTCACGATGCGTGGCGTTCGATTAATAATATGAAAAATTTACATTTCCTATAACGCTTCTTTAGTTTACAAATATTAAGTTTGTACCAAGATCCAAGAATACGAAGTCTCCATGGATGCGTAGTTGATGAATCAAACATAATTGGAAAAGCAATTTTCCCACTTTATACGCTCATATCAGTTAAGTGGCTGGACGCGTAACGATCGCAAGATATCCGCGCAATTCTTTTCCACCGCACAGGTTATCTTGATCGCAAACGTTTGCAATTGTGGAGTTGTTGCGAGACACCACAAACGAGGAGGCACTTTGCATGTCGCTTAAAAAGTCTCTATTCAGCGCTGGAAAGCGCAAGTCGGGCGTGATTTATACGCGCGACACGCAAGTTTGATGTGCTCGGCGCAACTAGATGATGCGATAAGCATCGGTCGGTAGTAACCGAATCATAGGCGCAATCGAAAGATTTATTGGCTAAGTGGGTGCACGGGTGCTACCGCCCCGCAATGGTGTCGTGTCGTTAATCAAAATTCCGAAAGGCATAACTGATATTTATAGAATTTATTAGCGTGCGCATTTATAAGTAGCTATATTGATTATAGCATTACACGGCCGCGCGACGAACGAGCTTAACGTTCTTTGTTGTTTGCCAGCACATTGGCAATTACACACGAGCCTTCCCGGTGCATTTCCGTGGTTAGTTTAGAAAATTTCAACGCTTTAAAAGGTTTAGAATGGCTTTGTAATATGCGTGCATGTGTGTGCCTATACGTGAGGAAATGAGCTGAATATTCTAAATGGAGAAATTCCAATAAGTCCTTTGCGTATAGTCGCACGCACGTCGGCGATATTCCATTTATAAACTTAACGCACAATTTATGTTTTCACTTATCCGAAACAACAACGCGACGAGATAAATTTCTGTATCATCGTCGGCGTGCATAAATTACCACGTATTCTGCATGTGGTGATCTCATCCAATAAGTAAAATTTATTCATTTCGAATTAATAACTGTTTATTGTGCAATAAGGTCAGAAAATATCTTTTGAATCATAATATAAATTAAACACAATATTATTTAACGTAGTAAACTGCTAATTCTAGCCTATAAAAAGAAATTCAGTAACAAAAGCAAAAGCAGATGTTTAAATGCGTCCTGGATGTGAATCTTACACTTATAACTCTTCCTTTCTTTCAATTCCTTTCGTTGCTTAACTAGCTGGACATTGGATACACGCTGGACAACTGGAGAATTTGCTAGTTGAGCCTATTCTGTTTTCTGCTTACTGCTTACTCTGCCACGTATAATCACATCTCGATACGTTGGTTTTTATTAATTAATCGTCGCTTTAATTATTGCGCACAGCGAATACGGTCGTAAATTCGCGTCCGGGGCGATTTATATTGCTACATTTATTTATCTAATGTACGCGCACACGCAGAAAACACACGCCAGTACGCGCGGTTGATTTTCAGCGCGAGACGAAGACGAGTCTGTCGAAGATTTATGCGCCTTTATCGCGCTCGTCGAGCAAATAATATCGACTAGTTTGCGCATTAATTAGTCGATAATTAATGACGACGTCGGCGTGTTGATTCGCCTGTAATTTATTTATGTATTTCGCGGAAGGAATTTTAATAAGCTGGTCTTTATAAGGAAGCGGATAGCTACCAGTTCGTATAAGTAAATATATATTCACGATAAAGTTCGATTCACACAAAAATAATCAAATAATTTGTCATGGTTGTACGCATGCAGCAATTTCGACCTTTTTTTTTTCAACGATAATCTGATGTCTTTTTGTCCATCATAATTTAAAATTCGCTCTCGGTAGTGTTTTTGTTTTGTTTTGATTTTATTTTCTTCAAACTTGTTCTCGTGTTCATGCCAATAAACAACGATTTCCTCTCGAGTCCTCTCGACACAACGTTATAAAAGTTACTGAATTACGAAAAGGCGTTGTTAATGTCGAAATTAATAATGCAAGAAGCTGATGACATACGAGCGCACCGGGCGATGTCTGCGCGTAATTTTGATTACAGCAAACCGAGCATAACGCCGTCTGCGAGATAACAAAAAAAGTAAAGCGGCGGCCCGCCGTCGACGAGCTTTTCCACATCAGTGTTACCGACGTGTAAAAGAGCGTAATGCATACTGAAACCAAGGTGTATAAGATGACGATGCGTATGCGCACACCATGTTTATTGTATGTGTGTGTGTTTACGGATTATATTACGTATTAACATGCACGAGAAGTGCTGGATGAGTCAGGGACGAAACAATGAATTCAGGAAATGGCCCCACATTAAGAAAACAAGGTGCTGAGAATGTTTGTTAACTAAGTAATTTAATTATCACGATAGTGCGCGTACAGCTAGTACTTCATATTAAAATGTTTAATGTCTAACTATTTTTCTCTTCTATTTTATGCGTAGTCTCACATTTCCAAGAAAACATTCACATTCTTCATCGTGAAATCATTTTATTTGAATTGAAATGAGCCGCCAATTTAAAAATAAAATTATGTTGTGTTAATATAAGTTATGAAATGAAACAAATGAAAGTCCTTTACAAGGACTTTACTAGAACAGGTGTGGTACACTGTCTGCCTGTGCTTATTACTTTATATCTTTATTATTAGTAGTAAATTCGATGAATTGACAACAACAACGCCCATAATTATCGACTCGAAATATGCGCGGAATGTATCCGCGTATCGACGCTTATCGATCACATTATGCCGCGTGGATGTGTGGCCGGCACGGACCACGAATAAATTTGCTGGTTAACAATGTCGAACGAATTGCTTGGAATGCCCGAGCAACAAATGCCCACGAATTCCGGCCGGGTAATTACCAAATGAAGCATTTTTAATTAACGATTAAATTAGGTCGGCGCTGTTAATGAGATGGTTGAGCTTTTATTGCAAGGATATTTGTCACGTTCAATTAGAATTTAATTTAAACTTGGAAAATAATAACGCTACTTTTATTTACAGATTTTAAAATGGGTAATAACTGTATACCATTTGATTATTTTAACAGCTGTGAAAAGAAATTAAGTATGTCTTTATACGTAATGTTTCTATCACTATTTTCTTAATTACCAAGTTGTTACCCACTTCAAGGCGCTAAAAAAATCGCAAAACATGAAAAGATAATAAGCTAACATTAGTAATGACTAATAAACATCATAATTGAGAATCTAAGTTTGATAATTACTTCTAAATATTAATTTTTATACATTCCTATTGTTTTTTGCACTTTTTACGCAAATGCCATTTAGAAATTTATTTGATGTGTCATCATTTATTAAACGATTAAAATTTTATCACGCATATAAAGAAATTAAGGACAACAGATATAACGGAATCAATTTATGACTCTGTAATGTTTCGTAGCAGGAAAACATCTAAAGATTCTAAAGATCTAAAGTATCAAGTTTTATGTTAATGAAGTTCTTCGCTACTTTTGAACTTGGGAATTCATTTGAATAAAATTTAGCAAAACATTACAATACGGCGATGAGCGAAAGGAATGGGCGTGGGTTGGGGCATGTTTAAAAAATTAATCAGGCATATTTATTGCAAGTGCACTCTTTTGTACACAGGGCATTCGTAGACACCCCTCGAAGCAAGTGCAATAATTTTACATTCCTGCATTTTAAGCGTTCGTAATTTATTTGTTTAAAATTGCAGTCCTTAATATGTTAAACACTCGGTATAGTAGTGTATAGTTTTGATGTGTGTAAGCACCCCGGGGTTCAATAGCGTATTCGCATTCATGGCGCATGTTTGCGGTCTAAGCAAACACGAAAAGTGCGAAAATGAACTGTTTAACACACAGGACCGTACTCAAGGCACACAGCTTTTGATCAGAGTAAAAGTGTTGGTTAACGCAACTCCACCACTGGTGGCCACGAAGAAGAAATCGCAGGTCTGATTTATTTGCGGTGACTTTGCCCGTATAAGGGAGTGTTTGGTCAAGCGTACGTCGCACTAAAGTACAGACACATCTCCAATGTTAAAATTAGTTGTTTTTGGTTCGTTTTTTTCGTTTTTCATCAAAAGCAATTGCTGTTAAAGTATATTGTGCCGCCGTAAATCTTGCGCAAGGGCTTTTTGCGCTCACGTGTGGCGTGGCGGTGATTGCGTCGACGAGAGTTGCGAGTTTATCGGCTAATACTATTAAAGCATCGTCAGGCGCCCAGGCAAACCTAGCTGAAGAAGAAGAAGACTCGTCTTAATACGGGAATTTGTTCGAATTTATGAGGGTCGGCGAGTGTTTTAAACGTGTACGCATGCGCGCGCGTGCGTGCCTGATTGTACATTCCAACGGTTTTTAGTTATTTACAAATTACAAGCCGAATGAAATATTATATTGCTGCGGTGTTATCGTGTATGCTTTGATTTCGTCTGCCAATAAAATTGCACCAGTGCTATTAAAAATTTTAACTTTTAATTATTCGACTTTAAGTTTGGTTTCGGCTATAACTTCCTGAGTGTTTCAGCTTGCAATTATTTAATTATTGCCTCAAAATTTGCATGAAATTTACTAGTAAGGGTATACTGTCATTCCTTCTGCATAACCACAGGACTAAATGCATGAAAATTGAGGTCACACGCGGTTCACATCGTTCTATTACGTTCTCATCATCGCATTATTAACGCCGCTCGAACCGAAGAGCTTTTTGAGATGCATATCGAACCGGCTCACAATCGACGCGCGCACAATCGTTCTTATTATGCATTTGTAACGCATCATCAACATAACTATTTCTCAATGCGTGCAAATACGCTGTAATTATTAGCTATACCTTTTAGAAGATATATTGTCATTAAGCGTATGCAAACTTCCGGTTGAGACGTTCAGCGAGGAAAAGTTCCATGGCGAAAATTTAAATATGTATAAAATTACGCTCGCTGCGTGAGACAGCGAACATTGATAGATGAATGCAAATCAGCGTTTAATTTTGCCTGACCCTCTCGTTTTTAATTACAGAAGCCGACCAACACGATGCTGATACCGGCGACTACGACACCGGCAGCGATGCTCACGACCATCTCGCCGGAGGGCTCTGCACCATGCAAGAAACCTCTGGAGAAGATCACCATAGTCGGCGCTGGCACGCTAGGAACGGCTATTGCGTACACACTCCTCGTGCAGGTGAGCCACTGATGTTATTTTGTGCATAATATTTACGATCTGCGTATGCAGGTAGCAAGGTAGACTGATTATCCAAAGCAATAAATCAATCCAAGCGAATTTACAAGAAAATCAAGCAAAACAAGTTTTAATTTTGGCTTTTTTCGGTCTTAATTGGACACGATTTCTTTAATTTACCGTTTTTTTTTATTTGAGTCTTTATTCCGAGTGTTTTCCGTGAAGATGATTATAATGTGCTTAATCAGCGTGCACTTCTTAAAATATTAATTCGACACTTCCGTGATTTTTTGTCTGTTTTTATGTTTTGTGCTGTCATGTTTTGTGAAGCTCGTAAGTTTCGTCGACGACTAAATTGCTGAGTGTAATTATCAAGCGAGTTACGCATGCGCCGTTGACTTCTCCTGCTTCTTCTTATTAGTTTGTATTTTGGGCAAACAAATTTATGCTAATTGCGAGGATATTACCCAAAACAACATGGCTTTTTAAAGACTCGCTTATATTTCTTTTAGCAGTTTACGACTTTTTATGATTACAACTGACCGTGTGTTAATCATAAAAATGTAAATTGAGCGTGTGTGTGCGAAGTGACTGTGGATGTCGAGACACCGTTCGGGAATTCGTTAATTCACACCGCGTTTGTGCGATGCACACTATCTCGATAACTGAATTAACTTATTGAGATTTAAATGTGGAGCACCAGCGGAGTGGTTGAAAGTGTTAACGTTCGTAACTCCACGAACACGACGCTAATTATACCCCGTGGACGGTGTGAAATCTTGTCATAGTGTAAAAAAACATTGTTTGTTATTTATTAGCCACTGTGTAGCCAAAAGGATGCAGCGGATAATAAAGACATGCCGATAAAATCTGTGGCATCGAAATGTTTGGAATATTTTTCGGTTTTTACGATTCGCTTCTTGGTAACACAAGTTTTCGAAATTTTCGATCGCGTGGTGTCGTCGCGTCAATTTTATCATTGACTTTTATGTTTATTAATGTATGATTCACATTTTAACATCTTCGTTTCACACTCGATGGAAAAGATCGAATTAAAAATATAATTGGAAGTGAAGCCGACACAAAACAAACAAGCTGCACGTAATGCCATAGTTTCTCGCATATCATTATGTGATTATGATAATACTCTATAATAGAAACATAAAATGAAGATGTTTTGCTCGGAGCGCATGCATGCGTGTGTATGTGAATTAAAATGTGATAAAATTGTAAAATTTATTGATCCTCGTTGGTGTGTTGCAGGCAAAAGTTTTACACACGTGTTTTAATGCGTTATTATAACGCGCGCCGCATCGGCGATGATTATTATTATGCTAATTCTAGGCGAACTCGCGCGCATCCTACATTACAACTTATATATAAATAAATTTATAAATTTCCGGTCGTAATAATCTGGCGGGTTAATACGACTTAATTACGAACTTTTTTAATACAAGGAGCGGCGGAATTTTTCATTTCGTGCGCAACTCCAACTCAGCGGCTTCTTCTGCGCCCCGGCTACCGTGCGTTGATGACTTAATTAGCTTCAGCACGGCAGAGCTTCGATGGATGAGAGAGAAAACGTGTTGCGTCTTATAGTTGCTATCGATTTACAGCGTGTAGATAGAATTTGTTGGATTAAACACTTGAGATGTATCATCTATCTATCTGCGGGTATCACGTTGTAAATGTAGGTGGATTAAGATTAACATTTGCATAATTAAATTGAAAATATGTTATTTTATGAATAAATTTCTAGCTTTCCGAAAGCAAAAATTATAATAAATATGAAGAGGATACAAAAATGAAAAAAATCTTGTTATTATGTTCTCGAAATATGTAAATATTGAGTTGAGTGTACAAAATTTAAAAAAGTTATAAAAATACGCTTTTTTATTACATTTTGCATTATACAGCGTGTAGACCACATCATTATTACCTTATTTAATAGTATATTACATGTGAGCATGTAATGAGCTCTTAATTGAGTCCGAACAATTTATTTTTATATTAAGTTTTTAAGTTAAATGTAAATGTTTCTCAGTTTTGTACAGCAATTATACAACTCTGTATACATTATTGCCTAAATGCTACCGACTAGAACATTTATTATTCCTAGTTTAGTTTTTGCAAAAAATTCTTTTCAATGATCCATCCTGTACAAGATAATTTATTAAACTTAATCTCCAACTGGTTCTCTTGATTCTTACAAAACATTCTATTTCACTCGAAATAAGATGATTAATATCAACATTAGATAGTTGAATATATTAATATCGATATTTTAGTGAATTTGACATTTCAAATGAAGCGATTTATAATAATCTAATATTCATGATTAAATTAGATATTTTTCAACTTGGTTTTTTAGTGCTAGCAAATATACTCCCAGGATATATTCAAATGAAATGGATTGTTGGATATAACAAAATTTTTACGATAATATAATATCGTTTCCTTATAAGCACACGACGACCGTTTGATTACGAACGCGCAATCGGTGTTTACTTATTATACCCGTGTTACTTCTTCTTCGTCCGGCATCGTCCGGCAGGCGAATCGAGAATGTCGCGGCTCCGGAATGTTGTTAGAAAGAGAAACGGCGCACCGAGTCGTAAAAATGTATTTATTCGAATGCCTCATATCTCGTAGCATCCTCGCGCGCGCACTCCTCGAAAACATGAAACGGAAGAATTTAGTGCTTGAAATTGGTTATAATTTAAAAAGCAACAGTTACAATCAGCCTCGGCGGGCACCATGTGTGCAAGAAGAGTCGAAATTTACATTCGAGATAAAGTTACGATAAATTTTACTCCAAACGAGAGAAAAATAAGCATAAAAAACAGCGGATGTATTGAAATTTAATTATTGCAGCATGTTCCGCCCAGTCGATAGAAATTCACAATCGTTGTCTACTTAATCATTATTAATGTAACTAGTCGCCTGCATGGTAGGTATGCAGTCTTATATACTGCATACAGGTACGACTTGCAAGTGTTACAAGTGGCCACGCCAAATTTAGTTATACAATTTTCTTAAGAAGTCTTAACTCGCCCTGGCACGCATTCAATATAATTTTCAATTCCAACAGTCGCGTAGTCGTGCGACATTTGAACAAATTCTTAGCTTTCGCTGGAAATGCGACACAACAACAGCAAAACGAGTTTGCAGGACAGAGTTTACGCGGTAGCGTAGTTTGTCTCCGCATGGTGGCGCTTGATTGTCCTCTAGTCCCGCGTAATCGTAATCGAAGTCCAGCTGATACGCGCAAATGAAGCGACGTGTGCAGTGTACTCACGACATGGCTTATATGCGAGCGCTCTCGATGTCGCGGCGACAGTAAAATATTATTTTGCTTAATTAAGTTTCATGAATTATTCATTGGACGCGCGCAAGCCGAAAGCTCGCCGCGCAACAAATGGAAATAAATATCGCTTTGAAGTCGATGAAATCGAGAAATGATTGAGGATACGGAAAAAAAATGAGTGGAATTTGTGCATTAAAGTCCGCTTTGAAATTAAGCAATTATTTTTCTTTGAGATTTCTGGCGGTTTGTGATCCCGAGAGTACCTGAGTCCGATTCCCGAAACGGATATGTAAATTGTCTATGCGTGGGTTGACTGGAAAAGCACTAAAACGAAATAATATCGAGTAATTTACGAGCGTTTGATAATGCAGGAGCACATCGAGTTTTTACGTCTTTAATTTAGTGTCTAGTCTAGTCTAGTCCATTTGACTGCAAGTATAGAAAAAATGCAGTAAAAAGTTGATTGTGTAGATGAGGAATTCTATGAAAACGAAAATTTCCTAAATGGATTTCATCGAAAAAAGCTTCTGGTCGAACAAGTTAAGTGATTTTGGAGCAGGTCTCACACAAATTATAAAGTTGAAGCATAGCACTTATGAGGAGCGCTGCTTCTAATCAATTGAGAGCAATGGCGCGCTATCATCCGCTCGCAATCGACACTCTTAAAGTGCGTGTACGCGGCCACACGTTTGCTGCAGCATAAAATAGCGATTTATGAGTTTGCGGCGCTCGTTTGCTTTATGTTCATTTAATATGCAAAACAGGGATTGGGCAACGAAGTGGCACTGATCGACCAGAATGAACCGCTCGCCAGAGGTGAGGCGCTCGATATGCTTCACGCCACCCAGTTCCTCAACAATCAACAAGTTACCTGCGGTACCGGTGAGTAATCAACGCTATTTATCCACATAGGCAACCAACATTACATTAAATTATATAACCGCGTAAAATTTTAGGTCTAAATTCAATCCTGTGTATAAAGCATCAGACAAAAGGAATGCAATTGAATCTTTCGCATAATTAATAACGCGTTATCAGGCATTCGCAGTTGCAGTTTAACGCAGCAGCATTGCAACAAATTATAATAATACACGCGCGCAATAAAATAGTTTCATCCATTTTATTGATACGGATCCTAAAATGTCGCGCGAGCGCTCGCTTTGTTTCATCTTCCAGGTTTGCGCAGTACGTACCGCACAGAGATAGACGTCGTTGTAAATAAATGCAATAAGTTAGTTAGCGGCTGGAAATTCTGTGGGCGATAAGGTGTCGGACGACGGTGCGCGGCCGGCTTATCGCCGACTTCATCAGCAACACACATACACAGATGCCGTGCGGGCTCCTCGCAGTAATATACAGATCGTAATATTCCATATAGCATATATAGCTTATAGCATTTATGGCGAGCGTATAGCCTCCTAGCTGCGGATGGTCGTGAAAATTTCAAAAAGCATTGCCAATGCCGTGCCAATAAACGGGTTGCGCACCGGGTTCGAATGCCGAGCCCATTTCGATACGAAACCCACGTGGGAATTGATTTTTCTCGCATCGTACGCGGATCGCTTATATTTTATAAATTGAGTATAATGATGTTTGGTGTGTCGGCCGGCATCGCGCGCGCGCGCGCATCGTTAAGACGACGTTAAGGATGTGTCAAAAACTGCACCTCTTTGAGTTATTATCAAGGAAGTAAAATGCTTCGATTCCGCGTGTTTAAGCTTATAATTATTATCAAGATATTAAAGGTTCACTTATTTTTCGCTAGTCTTATGTACTTACTTTACGTAAATTGTAAATACTTTACCGCATAAACGCACACAGAATAAGAAAAATGTAATAAAATATGTAAATCATAATATATTGTTAATAAACATCCTGATTCTAGATTATTCCGCTGCGAATTTATCAAAAATAATCATCATAACAGCCGGCGCAAGGAATTTCGACAACAAGGAGACGGCGACGAAGCAGAACACTGAGATTTTCCGCGAGCTCATCCCGCAGCTGATAAGCCATGCTGACAACGCGATATTTATCATCTGCAGTTATCCAGGTAATCGAAATTTGGGCGGTGATTTATATATGCCGTGACTTGACCTCTAAAATCTTGGTTCTGCACAGTGGATGAAATGTCATACGTCACGTGGAAGCTGAGTGGGCTGCCGCCGCACAAGGTGATCGGCGCCGGCACCTACCTGGAGACGACGCGTTTTCGGCGCGGCATCGCCGACCGCATGAATGTGCATCCGTCTTGCTGTCGTGCGTTTGTCATCGGCGAGCATGGCCCCAAAAGTAGTACGTATTTTATACGCATTGCGAAATATCTTATAACGGATAGAATAGAAATGCATGGAATGTACACAATACAAAACGAGCGTTGATGGTTTAATTGTCTGTTGGGATCGTTGTTACCTGTGATATCAATGCGAATTGCGAGTGGGAATTTTCTGATGTATGAAAGTGCGAGGATAAAAGCTTCGTTAAGATTACGAGTATTTCAGACTCGCGATAGTCCCACCTCATGTACGTATGTGCAAACACGTCTAATATTTTTCGCTGACTTCATAAAAGACTAGATATCTACGGAATGCGTAACCGTGAACGTAATCAACAGTAATTTGCATTTCGTTTGTGCCAACTCGCATCGCTTTGTTTTCTCTCGGCGACGTTCTGACTGAGTATGCTGCCAACACTAAAGACATTTTACCAATTAAGCACTTAACAAATAGCTTTCGCAAAGAATTCGTTTGATTGAAACTTTATACGTTTCTTTTGAATCGTCGTGGAATGTTTGCTTCTCCTTAGTTCCGATTTGGTCCTCGGTGAACGTCGCCGGCGTGCGCCTGGCCGAAGTGAACCCGGACATCGGCACGCCGCAGGATCCCGAAGATTGGAATTCCATCTTTAGAGACATCGTCGACAGGTTAGAATTTTCCGCAAGTGTTTAAACACGCAGCAAGCATGTTGTTACTTGTTACCAATATACTCGCAGCAACGGACACGCCGCACTAGAAATGCTAACAATACTGGTTTTAATTAAGTGAAGTCCTTGCGCGAGTCTTGTTTGCTTTTCTGTGCGATGATAATTTACGATGTGCGATGCAATTCCAATACACGCTTTTGCAGCGCCGAGGAAGTGGTCTGCTTGAAGGAGTGTGCCTCCTGGGGCATGGCGCTGAGCGTTGCGCGCATCGTTAGAGCCATTCTGCACGACACCGGCGAGTGCTTCACTGTCTCCACGCACATCAAGGTAATAACAACGCACAATTTACAATATGCAGTCAAATTCAAATGCGAATTGCTGCCACAAGCGTCTACTTATCTATCAGTTATGCTAAAAGATTTGTCACAGAATTAAATCCGCCCGCATAAGCGTTGTGCATAATATAAATAACATTTGACGGCGTTTGAATGCATCAAATTGTCGTCATACAATCGCACAATGTTCACAATTTAGCGTTTTCACATTGTAGTCTTTCGGCATAAATTTGTCTCAACGATGGCGTTTTGTAATGCAAAATCTGCGGGAAAGGACGTTGCGTCTCTAGATAAATGCAACATGCGCTCAACGCAGCAGACAAGCGACGCGCGGACAGCCTGACTGACGTTGCACGTCTTAAGCTAATTGAGTGCCGCCTTGATGTGACTTTTTCGCTGCGGATTTCCAGCGCGTCCATTCAAACGCGGGACGTTGCTTTTTCACCTTTTACATCTCATTTAGTCGACGAATTAGCCATGAATGGCGAATGTTGCTATCACTCCCAGAGGCGGATTCCTCCAAACAACAAACATCACATCTCTTTAAAGCCATATTTCTAATAGTTCTAATCTATTTCATAAATTTGTTAAATCATACTTTAATTTTTTTTAATACGGGTATATCTAATTTTGATTGACAGATATCCTTCCACACTTAGTTTAAATTATTAGATTATACAGTGTAAATGAAGCGGCCGTGGATGAGTTGTGAGACGGCACTGTCGAGAAGGGACTTAAAGTCCGCGCGGATCACGATACGTTTTTAATCTGATTACGCGGCGCTCTTGATGCCGACGCAGGTGAGCTGGATGGCGTGCAGGTCGGGTCCGAATTGTGATGCCGAATGCTGTACGTCCTTCTCCACAATGGGGCCCGTTCCTGCCTTCATCTCGCACCACGGTGATGAACAGTAGCTAATCTGTATTATCCAATCTGACATGCCACTGACATAAATGCACTGTGCGAACACAACGATTTCTTCTCGCGCAGAATATTTCATTCAACAAAGTAAAGTTTACCAATAATAATTAGTAAAAGTACAGTTTTTCTTTGTGTTTCCAACGAACATATATTATTATGTTTTAGTGTGTTTATCTATTCTGCTTTCATTCTGAACTTGTTATTTTCTTTACAATACGTAAATTAACATCCTCTGGTCGACATGCTACGCTCGGCTTCAGATATCTCGGATAAACCCGCGGCATTTATCCATCATTTAACAACGCGCTCGCGATATCTTTCATTCCGGCGTGCGCGTGTCTTTGCCGCACACACGCCGCCTTAATGAATAAATCAGCGCCGACTTTATCTCGTGCTTGTATTCATCGGGGGTAGGGCCGCGCCGTTGTCTTCTCGCAGGCACAGGAAAAGGCAATCGCGAAGAGAAACGAATTCTCGACTCTAATAAATAAACGCTTCGATTTCCGTCTATCTAGTCTAATTGTTTTTTGTTTCCGCTTATCTGTCCGCAGTGCAGCTTTCTCTACCTGCGCTGACTTTATCGCAGCTCAATTAAAATACACTCTCAACTCACATACAATCCTTTGTTTTCTAGGGCTGCCGCCATGGAATCGACAAAGACGTGTTCATGTCCTTGCCGGTCATTTTGGGCTGCGATGGCGTCAAGAAGTTGATAAAGCAGTCGTTCACAGACACCGAAAAGGAGGCGCTGCAGAAATCCGCCGACCGGATGTTTGACCTTTTCAGGACCCTTGATTTAGACAAAATTGAACCACCAAAAATAATTTGTTGAATGGAGCGCCTCGTAATAATCTAATTGTATTGACTAAATGATTTGTGGGACATGGAGACTCGGAGCAACGTGTGTAAATTATTCAAATGTAGTACATTCATTATCACGCTGGCATGTGCGCCCGAATTACTTCTGACTCGTGCGGTGGTATCCTCCTAATTATGGCCGAGCATTATTTAGCTTATGTTAATCCGTCCGCGGTTGACAGGAAATGCTTGTAATCAAACGGAGCGATACACAAGCCCGACCGGTATGACAAGCGTTTCATCATTGCGTTTAGGAGCGCTTAATAAACGCTGAAAGGCCGAATGCGCAGCCACCATTGATTCCATTCGATTTACGAAGATGCGCGGTATTAATATTCAATTAAGCCGTTCAGCATTCCGATCTGGTACGATTGCAGACCCGTTGCCCGGGCGGACACTCGTACAACGAAACCCTTTCAATTAGGCATGAAATACGCGTGTCTCCTTCGTCTAGAGCGCCTAATGCATTATCAACGTGCGCACACGTACATCTTGGACATGCTGTGTGCGATGATTCGGTCCGGAGATGCACTTATTTTCGACTGGTCGTTTTGTTGCGCGGCGGCCGTGCTCGGCAGTTACATGGCGGCGAGCGCAATGTTCGCGTTAGTCTTGTTCTGGTATAAACTTGATTTACATACTATGCTAATGGCGTATGCAACAAATACTTTACTCAACATTCGCCACGGTATTCAGCGGCGTTCGCCGCATTGTTACTGTTTATGGTCATTCGTTATTTCAGCTTGAAGATCTTCGCCCTTCATCGTGGTCGTTGCAAAATGCGGCTTCTGCAGTTTACTACCAATTCTGGCGGGTCTTCACGTTTTTAACATGTTTGTCTTCCGGTAAGGTTATTCAAATTTATCGATGGGACTTTGTAAAATTACCCAATTTGGAAAACTTAAGAGGATACTGCAGACTAACTGGACAGAACATGTAATAAAATTTAAAATGATAATGAATTACATTATTTTGACATTTGGGACCATGAATATTAAGTAATCGATAAGGAATCTTTTGCTAATAACACAATACAATTAATGGGCACAGGTTGAGTTAATATTGCAGGGCTATTTGAGCGCTTTAATTATGAACATTGTCTACTCAGTCAAGTTTCACCAACTTCCCTGAAAAACACAATGAATTTGGTAAATTAGTGCATCTTAGCGCCATCTTAACTTCAATTGTGGAGATGTTTATGTATTTTGATTATGGGTGCATTCGCGTTGACGCTTACGCGCTGTGAGCGTGCTTACATGTCATTTTCATCGTTCGACTTGGCGCTGTGAGTGTCACATAAGTACGCTCATGGCTGAGATCGTAGCACAGACTTCGCGCTCATTTATGCTCACGCCACAGAGGTAGGGCAGCGAAAGCGTGAGCGCCAATTTTATTATCTGTCAAAACGAATGCAACTTGAGCATAAGCTAACCAAAATATTTCATACGCTCACAATATCCAAAACGAACGAAATTTATTTATTGATTCTAAGCGCCTATAGGCCATCTCGAACACTAAAAATTTGTGCTTATAAGCGTGAGCGCTCACAGCGCGTAAGCGTCAACGCGAATGCACCCTATGTATTTAGTATTTTGCCCGAATGACCGGGCCGAAATTTATTTATGTCGAAAGGCAGGGTCGAACTTTTCCAAAAAATAAATTTAGATTGAAATAAAAATAATTAAAATTTGTAATATATTTTGTTATATATCTTGGTTTCTAGGTACAGTTAAAATCATAATAGGGTTTAAATCATATACTCTTATGACAATTGAATTGCTCATTTTAAAATAAAAAACGTTCCATTAAATAGGCCAAATAATGTCTAAATAATTTATGCGACAACAAAATGGTACTAAGATAAATACTTTGAAATTGTCTTAGCTTTAATATTCTGCAATAAAAAGTTGAAAATTCAAATTTTTATTTTTTGTGTAAGAAGTGATGGAAAATATGAATAATCCAGTTTTACGAAATTATCTCGCAAACGATTTAAACTAGACAAAAATTGTTTTTGGATTTGTATTTCAAGCACTATTTTACATCATCTAACACTTTAAAATTTTTAATTATCGACATTTATGTAATATATGAAAATGGTCAATAACTCAAAAACTAATTAAGACACCGCAACCAAAATAAGATTATTGAATTCCTGGCATTGTTTCTCATCAGTGTGGTAGGTTTGGTAAAAATCCGATGTGTGGTTTAATTTTGTCAGTTCCGATTTTCACCAGAATTTTCCAAAATAATGGTGGTATCGAAAAATTGAATAGAGATCCTTCATCGCCTTGAATTTCTCTATTGATTGGCGTTTTTCATTTGGCTCTAAGATAAAAAATAATTTTTGGGTCACAAAAGAGTCAAGTGTAACCTCTTCAGAATTTTTCATGGTTTTTTGTCAACTTCAAAAAATCAGAAAACTGAATCAGCCATTTTATAGATCTTTATCATGGCATGAACAAAATACAAAAAGTTTTTTTGTAACTTTATTACTTTTCGAGAAAATTGCGTCGCAAAATTGTTTTTCACTATATAGAAAACACAAATTTTAACATCTTATCTTATTAAGAATTTGATGCTAAAGACAATGCCGTTTTCTGTTCTTGTTAATCTTGATTAGTTTCTAAGATAATCGGGTTTTAAGTTGAGCTGGAAGTGCATGCTGTACTTAAATGCATCCACAGGGTTAACCATTGAAGCTGTTAAGTAACAAGTTTAGTAAATAAGGTAATTAAAAGCCTCTCTATCGATATTACTAGTTATTAAAAGAATTAATATTACTAATTAAAATGCCAGGCGCCTCCGCCATATTTGTATTAATTATTTGCACTTTTTAAGAAATTATAAAAATTGAAACTTTCACTATTTATTATTAAGGAGAACTTTATGAAGATACCGTTTTAATACATAGTTATAATTTGACTAAAAATTGTATGCATTTTCTTATATCTTTTTACACTCTTTTATTAGCTTCACATGTATGTTTGTTTGCTTGCTGGTTTGTAACCGGCACGGCACACTTTACCAACTTCGATGGATAAATACTTGTCTAAACAATTTTGAAAGTTTGGCGTAAAAAAACTTGCGTGAAAGTTTTGCACATCTTTTATGTGTTTTAGTGCAACGAAAACAATGTCTAAATGCACTTGAATCATGTGACTTAAGTGTAAGTCAGTTTGTGTGCACTAGTATGTTAGTTTATTTAGATTTCTCATAAAAGCGTGTTTTTAAGTTTTTTAAACTATATTTTATTTAATGCATTAGTTATTAACTAATTATGTAACAGTTTAAATTGGGCTATCACCGAAACTTTAAAAAGCTGCAAAAAGAATTTCTTCGTCCTGTATTGGATCCATAAAAACTCCAGATGCTGAAAAAGCTGAATTTATTGTAGGATATTTCGTGTGGATTTGAAAGGTAAGTTATGGTCTATATGTGTCTATTTCGAAATGAAACAAATTATTACTCTAAAAACAACAAAAAATCAACTTTATTTAGCGTTGTTACATGTATAGTAGCATGTTGCATCTTAAAAACCAACATTATGTCCCATTTTGCTTCATCACCAGTTACATTTTTATAAACACAATGCTTAAATTAAGATATTGACAAAACATCAGTAGCACTACCATTTAAATATTGAAATATTATGTTTGAAAGTGATTATAATTAAGAGGTGATTGTTCCACTTTTGAAAAATGCTGTACAAATCAAAACTAGCCATTTATCATATCAACTTAGTGGCGCAGTAGATAGATAATACTAATTAGTTTATTGAGATTTACTAAAATATGACGACGCGTTAGGGAAACGCTCCGGCGTAAAATCCTCGTTATCTTGGATACTCGCTTGGACGCTGGTGCGCAGCAAATCTCGGTAGGCGGATTGTATCGACAAATCGGCGCCAGCTTCTTCAGCAACTGCATCTAAATTTGCAACTGGTACGTTTCCTGTCGTAGTTACGGCTCGCCTAATGCTCTCTGTAACAACGCAATTACATTATTACTATTCCTTTACAACACGTTTATATATTTACCTGATATAACATGAGGAAGAGTGCCTTGCGGTTTATTATTCGTCACAACCTTGCGGCGTTTACTAGGCATTCCGGTCAAATAGGCATCGCTAAGTGGTGCTTGACTTTGTCGTCGTTGTCGTTGTGTGTCCCTGGCGATAAGAGGAACCCAATCCTAAACGATAAAAATGTAAATATTAATTTCATCAAAATAATCATTTTCATAGACATACCTGTGGTACTTGTCCATGCCATGACTCTGATCCAATCACAACCGCGGGAACATCTTCGGCATCATCCAAACCAATCACACCCAAAACATTGGATACTGCTTCTTCTTCAGTCGCAGCCTGTGCAGTGTCTACATCCATAGGCTGCAAAATCGAATACATCTTATAGAAACATTCTACCCCAACTCTTTAATATGCAGTGGTTTACTCTACCTCATTTTCAGCGATAACGCTATTAACCGTTTTAACAATGTAGGGCTGCAAGGCACTTGTCGGTACATCGATGGTCAGCAGAAATTCGTGTAGAAGTGTGCGCGTTTCCATCTGTGTCCACTGTTGCAGGCCCGGAGCGATGCCATCCATATAGCTTGCAGCAAGGCGATTCATCACGTCTTCGACTCCTTGCTGGCCGTTACAGCTCGCATGCAGAATCAACGCACACAGATGCCTACCAGTCATCTTCAAGTGGTCGATGAGTGCCTTCATCGAGTTGGGCCGATGTGAAACAGCAAGATTAATTGCATTCGGTAGGCGATTGCGGAGCAGTAATTGTGTTGATCGTATAATGTCAATATCGTCACGTACGGGTAAATGTGACTAAAAAACACATTGTAAGGCTAGTCCAATCATAATTTAATCATTCAACTTACTAAGTTATCGAGGAATGGTTGCATTTCATTCAAAAGTTTATTTACAGCACGTTGAACGTTCTGTGGGGTAGGTGCATTTCCTTCTAAGATTCTATCGGCAACAAACGTACGAATTTCGTTACGAATGCGCAACAGCGGATCTAATCGTCCGGTGTGCAAATGCATCAAATCTCTAAAATAATTAAATATTAGATATTATACTGTAAAAGAGCAGTGAAAATCAAAAACATACCCAATAGTTAAATTTTGCGACAATAGCATAAGTATATCGCTGAAAATATCCTCCCCGGTGACTTGATCACCGGCTTCTTGCAACAACTGCGCAATTGTAGGTCCTCGCGAATTAGGATCATTAGAGCCCTACAATTTAAAGACAGACTTTAATGGAATTACTGATTTTTAATATTTAATATTTACCATATTTTGGGGCATCATGAAAGTTGAAAGACCTGAAAACAATGTATTCTGCAATAAGTTTTGAATAGTAGCCTCAGCACTATTACCGATAAGAGTAGGTGCCGGTCCACTACTCGTCGTAGTACTCGCCGGTGCGGAAGTTGAGGTCTGTACGCCAGTATTTGGCGTACTAGCCCTTCGTCCGTACATATTTTGCAGAGAGCCCAACAATCCCTGAACCAAGTTTAATACGGGATTCACTTGATTAGTAGGTGTGTTGCCATTCTGTGGCCTCACGTTATTGTTGTTTGGCTGATTCTGATTGTTATTCGTGGAAGCACGAGTGCTGGGTCGCCTTAAATGCATGATATGATGCGAGTTGCATGGAAGAAACGGGTCGAAACCTTGAATGGCATGCTGCGAGAAGTGTACATGTGGGCGGGCAGTGCTACGTGTATGCGTAGCCGTTGTCGGATGAGTTTGTGTGTTACCGCGAGCCTGCGAATTCTGTCCAGGCACACCATTTTGACCAGGAGTTCCAGGCGTTCCAGGCGCAGTAGATTGACCGCTTGTTGTAGTCGCCTCGGTTGTCGCCGCTTGAGGAGGTCGAACAGTGATGTTAGAAATGTTTGATGTAGATGCGCCGCGATTAACAAGTTGTCCAGCCATCTGCATAATCGACTGAATAAATTCTGGAGTTGGTTGGGGCACATTTGTTCCTCGTGTACCACCATCAGTTTGTGTTGCTCCTAATAGTGATGACTCCAAGGAATCAATCGTGATGCTTTCGGGTGTAACCTCCATGAAAAACTCTACATTCGGATTGTTGGCACCTCTCTGCGCGTTTGCATTGTCTGTTGGTACAGTGTTTGACGTAGGAGCTTCCTGATTTTGAGTCGCAGTTGTCGTAGCTGGTCGCGGAGTAGATGCACTACGCATTGGGCGAATACTTATTGGAAACGACTGCACATGTACGTTGCTGTTCATAAACTCGAAGTGAGGAATCGTCATTCTGGAGGTGCGATTAGCTCCATTGTTACCCGTAGCTCCAGGGTTAGTAGACTCTGTATTAACGTTGTTAGTCGCATTTGAGCGAACACTCTCACCAGCTGTTTGCGTTGCGCTGCTGGTTGAATTCGGCATTGGGAGATCAGATGAAAAATTTATCTGAGCCTCAACCTGAATGGGAAAACCAGCTGGGACAACAGCTGTTTGCTGAATGAGAATAGGACGGCACACCAGCCGCCTTGGAGGCGGCGACCGAACGCGCAAAATAATGTCACTTAAAGAATGGTAGGCATGACTGAAATAATGCAGCACCTCAGAAACGCGGTTGAAAGTTCTATCAGTATCGCGCCGATTGCGTGATCCATCCAGTACAGGGTCTTCACGCAAAAAAGTTTGATACCGCTGCAAAAATGGCGCAAAACGTGCTTGTAAACGTGCGAGAGTATCAAGCAAATCGGCCATTTCAGAGGTTCTTGAAATATTCCTACACAAACAAAACAGTTACAACTTTCAACAATATTTATGAATAACAACACTTACTCTTGTGCATTGGCATTGGTGGGTGGATTTGCGTTAGGGCCAGCTAAATCTTCAACCGAAGTTGAGGACGGAGTTGTAGCCGCCTCCGGAGACGAACCGGCCGACTGTGTACCTTCAGGCTCGGCGGTGTTTTCCTGAGCTGAAGTTGTCTCAGTTGCTTGGTCCATTGTTGAGTTAACAGGCCTGTGTATTAAACATATAATTAAATATTACTCTTATTCTATCCTTGCAAACACTTACATGTTTTCAGCATTATTTAAAAGAGATGAATGAACAGCATTCATGAAGTTCTCGTCAATATTTTCGCTTGAAGAAGCTGGAACGATAACTCTCGCTTCAAAAACTGGTGTAACTTCAACTTGAACATCATCATTCTGTGTTCGTGGCTGTGACGGGTTCTCCAACCACGCAATCGTCGCTTCAGCATGTCTCAACATACGCCTGGCTACAGCTAACCTACTGGCCGCCAGGCGAAAGTTGGGCGGCGGTGGCACCAATGCCTGAGGTTCAAATGGTATTGCCATTGAACCCAAGTACTGCACTGTATTGCCTCCCAGCAATCTTTGCTGCTGTGCCTGGGGAGGTAAGGTATTTGCAGGTCTGTTTGGCTGGTCATTGTTGGATGGATTATCACTGGGAGGTGGCCTCTCAACTAAATGAACTACTTTGCCATTCACATCTACAAACAAATTACCAATAAAATAATCTCACCTAACTATGAATCTATTTAATTTCTCACCCAAATCAGTCAGTTTGGCTTCATCTGACAGCACTCTGCCTGAATAGATTATCCTCTGAATCTCTGCAGCAATATTCACAGTACTAGCAATGTGCTGCTTAAACTGTAGCACAGTAAACTGAAAATATAACCAATTAATATCACAATGCTTCTAGAATAAAACCAACTAGCTTACCTCATCATCCACATTGAATTTGTGGTTTTGAGAGTCTAATGTTCTCACTGTAATCTCAATCATTTTGAATCTATAAAATAAAGGAAAAACGGTTAATATTTGGTGCAATAAACTGCATAAATCAAAGGAAATGTCGCAGTTGCATTAACGACTGTATTTTCAATGTGTAATCATTGATTAATCATCGAGCGTGTTATTGCTCCCAATACGAGTTTGTATGCAAAACAAACGTCACGCGAAAGCAACTTACCTGTTCCCGGAATGTCCTACAAAAACCTTATCTGCCCCACATATATATAGATTAATGATAAGATGCGATGAAGGCTTAGATTCTCTTCAGTGAGGTTTTAAACGACCAGATTTCGGCGATTTTCTCGTTTCGTATCGAGATTCGATGCGACAGACGCGACAATCACGCCTATTCGCTGATGTATTAAACTATCGAACTATTTTCAAGATGGCCATGATGTCAAACATGCTTCACTTGCCTTTTTGACAGCCAAACTTATTTGAATTTATTTAAATCAAGGCTGGCCAATGGATTTTCCTGGAGGGCAAAATCTTTTAGATTGCGGCGGCACCGGGCCACAGACTATGGCCATTCATACATAAAATCTTATACATATACAAAAGTTCCAACTTTGGGTTTTGCGGCGGGCAAATTCAAATGTCCTGGCGGGCCACATTGTGGCCCGCGGGCCTGGGATTGGCCAGCCATGATTTAAATGATCGTTAGTTACTACAAACATAAACTTGCAAAATGCATTATTTAAATAATGGTAGTTCAAACTTTGTAAAGAAACATTTACCAGTTTCGCAGCATGCACAATACGTTTACAAACTATGACAATTAATTACAAATCAAATAGGAACATAGCCAACTGACAATACAAAAAATCAAACCAATATGATTTCGTGTGATAATAATTTATTCAATTATTAGCAATTAGAACTGAAAGTTGCTTTAAAAATAAAAGCAACATCATCTACTTCATAAATTTACAATTTATCTTATCATTATCAATTAACTAATTCGCGATGCACAATTAACTCGCAGTACATCATATAAACAAGATTAATGCAACCAAGGCATGATAAAATATCGATTGTACCAATTTTGTCTAGAACGAATTTCGTCGCGTATTCCAAAAACATTTTAACAACTATTTACTAACAACTGTACATGAAATTATCATGAAATACATTATTATAGAAGAGAAACTGTTGGTAGAAACTAAAATTAAGGGTAATAAGAAAAATGTTTAAAAATGATCAAATCTGATTCATTCTGGTTCAAGTTCATGTTCAGTCCATCCCCAATAGCGTGATTGATTCCTTGCCATGCAAGTCTTCGTCCTCTTCCTCCTCCTCTTCTTCTTCTTCCTGCAATAAAGAAAGCAATATTAAAATACACAGTTCATAATTTAAAATATTAGCAACTTACATCAAATCCAAAGCAAGTCTCCATGTCAGTCGCGACTCCGAGCTTTTTGTCTTCTTCCATAACTTCCGTCTTTGTGATTCTTCTCGCATTCTGAATGGCTTTAATCACCTCCGGATCGGTTAAGCTTTGTCCTTGCAGCATTTCTTCAGTCAGCAATTCCGACTGACCCTCACTAACAACCATCGTTTGTTCCTCACCATCTGCAAGTTGGATCACCTCGAGCACGACGTACTGCTGCCCATCGTTGGCATCTACAGCCATCATATCGTCCTCCTCCTCTTCTTCTTCCTCTTCCTCCTCGTCTTCTTCTTCTTCCTCTTCATCCGTATCTAAACCAGTGATCACCTCAACCTGTTGTCCGTCAATTATCTGAATCTTCTTCTGGCGCCCCATCTTCAGCGCTAATTGTCGTTCTTGCATGCATGATTCAGGATCGTGTATCGCCATGTGGCGAATGAGATTACCCTTGTGTCGGAAAGTGCGCCCACACTCAGGACATTCGTGTGTTTTCTCCTTGGGCGCGGGCGGAACGTAGCTGGGATTGTGATAGAGGTTCTGGTGGCGTTTGAGCAACTGCTTTTGCCTAAAGGACTGATCGCACTGCGAACACTGGTATGGCTTCTGGTCGGTATGGATGAGCATGTGCGACTCGAGATGCCGCGCAGAAATCGAGGCATATGGGCACAGCTCACATCGGAAACACTTCTCACCTTCGTGGGATTTATTATGCAGCTTGTAGCTGTAGCGGTCCGGGAATGACTTGCCACATCGCTTACACTTAAGCGGTTTATCCGATGTGTGCAGCTTTTGCACGTGTATGCGCAAGTCGGTCTTGCGGCCACAGGTTGTTGGACATAACTCACAGTGGAATACCGGTTTATCGCCAACTAATCAAACAATATAAACAAACATTTTAAAATCTGTCAACAAATTAAACTATTGATAAAACTTACCATTATGTGTAAGTTTATGTGCTTTTAAACTATTACTCTGTGTAAACCTCGCTCCACATTGATCACAATGATACGGTTTTTCACCGGTGTGAATACGAAGATGTCTCTTTAACTTGAACGTGTCCGGACTGGCATATGTGCAGTGCGGGCATTGATACGGTCGCTCACCAGTGTGGCACCGAATGTGTCTCTTCAACTTGGACAGTTCCACGCTCGCATAGTCGCATTCGTTACATTTGTGTGGTTTTTCATGCGTGTGCCGATAGCGTACATGCCGCACGAGTTCACCGGATGTGGTAAAAGCCGCATCGCAGAACTTGCACAGATGAGGCTTGGTGCCGGTGTGCGTGTTCACGTGGTTCTGCAAACTCGCAAGCGTTTTAAATCCTCGTTCGCATACTTGACATTTGTGCGGTCGCTCCTCGGAGTGGCTTTTCATGTGTCGCGAGAGTAGATAGCGCTTTGGGCTAGTGTAGTTACAGTAGTTGCACATGTGAGCTTGAGCAACCACCTGCGATTTTCTAGGAAAAATTTTGACGATTTTCGTCTTGTCATCTTCGGGTTCTTCATCCTCGGCGGTACCAGGATCCTCCGCGTCGTCAAAATCATACACTGTACAGAAAATACAAAACAATCAATATGTTTATACAACTTTTTAAACATTTATTCTTACCAGCCATGTCTTGGTCTTCACCCTGGTCACCTTTTTCATCTTCAGGTTGCTGAACAATTAAAACATAGCTTAATTCATTGGTGCCATCACCATCAGCACCAGCAGGTACAACAGTAATCCTTTGCTCATTTTCACCATCTTCAACATTTGCTGGATTGATAATGAACTCTTCACCATTATCATCATCAGCCAGGCCAGGCACCACTGTCATAACAGGCTCTGCCTCACCTTTTGCTTGGAAATAGTAGTGACCTTGCTGATCAACAAAGTAAGTACCTTCCTCAGCTTCTCCATCTGCCTCTTCAACTTTGGAAAGTACAAATATGTTAATCAAAATGTAATTCAATAAGTGTAAATATTTACCTGTTACTGTTTGAATAGTGCCTTCTCCGCCAGCAATCTCCTTCTGAAATCCTTCCAAGTAAGACTGAATCTCCGTAACGTTTTCCGACGTCTCAACGCCTTCCAACTTAATTTGTGTGGTCGTGAATTGGGTCGTCATCTTGGAGGCTGCATAAATATCCAACAAAGCTAGTTTTATTCACATGTTTACGTTTACAAATGAGGTTTGGCGCGTCGCGGAAAAGTTGCGTCCGTTGTGATGCGAGCCCGACGTATAACCGCACTGGAACATGAAGTAGGCATTGGTGGTGACGCCATTTTCACTGCCCGTCCGTGAAATAGAATCGACATGCATGTACAATCGGTTTCGCGGAGAAAAAAGACCCGGAGAACATCTTGAAATTAAATCTTTTGCATGTTTACTTGACGAAGTTGGATGTAGGGGGCATGTCGTCGAAAAATTTCTCGAAATTAGCACCGTCGGCGCTGTCATCAATATGGCGGCACAACAGGCGACGCACAGCCCGCGCGACCGACTCGCCTCGTTTCCTCCATTTTATCCGCATATTCGGCGTTTTGCGCCGATGGAACCGCGAGCAAACAATCCGCACCCCTTGTAGTGATCACAATTTGCACGAAAATCGACCGATATCGCCACGGAGGCGGTTTAAAACAAGAAGTAACAACATACCTTTTAACTCCAAGATTGACCGTGAGGGCGTTATCGAATATGGCAGCGTCTGTACGAAATAATCAGAGATGGCGAGGCCAGCGGCTGTATGCGACGAGACGGCCGCCTCGTAGCGCTCGTAGCTGCCGCGTCGAAATGCTAGGCGCGCGCGACGCGAACGACGCCAGAACACCTGGCGGCGGTGGCTCGAATGCGCACGACACACGCGCAGGCTAGCCGTGCGATGCCGAACCAACGTGATGCGACGGTTCGACGACTCAACGCGCGATGCCGGAGGCTCGTTCGCTTCGCTTGCCTGCTTTACTTGAATCTCGCGTACAGCACAACCATAAATTCACTATTGACATTCACAGCAAATATTTATGACCAAAGCCTACTATTAGAACCATTCCATAGATTTTAAAGAAGAAGTTAAGCATCAAAAATTAGATAGTTCTTTAGATAGAATTATATCAACTTCAAAGTGTAACAAAATACTTACAAATTTAGGCCTTATAGTTAATTTTATTAATTTTTTTACGTATTCCATTTCAATGACGTCATGACGAAATTACACCAATGAGAGCTCAGCAAGTGTCGAGCTTGCGTGTATTCGATAAAGTTCGTGCATTTGCGTGCTCACTCTAACTCATAACGAAAGAGTAGTCTATTTCGTTTGGATCATCCGCCTACCTACCGCAATCTGCTGATGGTTCAAGCGATTCTAGCCATCGAGCACTCTCGACTTTCGACGCCGACGTCGACTTGACAGTGGTCGAGCGTGGCTTCTTATAAATAAAATCAGTCCCGCTCCATACGTTGTTTTTAGTTAGTCGCCGACAACATGTTGGGAAACAAGTTCTTCTTGGCCTGCGGGCTTCTCTGCCTGGCATCCACAGCATTCGGTGAATCTGCCGATGAAAAAGCAAAGAAAGGCCCAAAAGTCACGCAGATTGTGCACTTCGACATCACTATCGGCGGCGAACCTGCCGGCCGCATTGAAATTGGTCTCTTCGGAAGCACCGTGCCAAAAACCACCAAGAACTTCTTTGAACTAGCTCGCAAACCAGCCGGCGAAGGCTACAAAGGCAGCAAATTCCACCGCGTTATCAAGGACTTCATGATCCAAGGAGGAGATTTCACTAAGGGCGACGGTACCGGCGGCCGCAGCATCTACGGCGAGCGATTCGAGGACGAGAACTTCAAACTGAAGCACTACGGCGCCGGCTGGCTGTCGATGGCAAACGCTGGAAAAGACACAAACGGCTCGCAGTTCTTTATCACCACTAAACAAACTACCTGGTTGGACGGCAGACACGTGGTATTCGGCAAGATTATCAAGGGTATGGATGTCGTGCGCAAGATTGAATCCACGCCAACTGATGGCCGTGACAAGCCGAGCAAAGATGTGGTTATCGCTGATTGCGGTGCGCGTGATGTGGACACACCGTTCGGTGTTGCCAAGGAAGATGCTACCGACTAAATTCTGCGATATTGTTTTGTTTCAAATGAAACCCTTTGTGTCATTTTCATAAAAAAAGAATAATTTTGCAATACATGTACTTTTATAAAAAACGAGATGAATCTGTTTTGATTGTGCAAACCTGTTTCTATAGACGATCATTAGGCGCTCCTTAAGTCAACGACCTATCCGCTAACACAATAAATCAACTTACTTTCCTCTTTAGTTAAGCATTCAAGCATTTGCAAAATAATTTATCATGTCCACCTCTTTTGTTGTTCATTTTAAGCTTCGGTTTCAAATTATCGTATTTAAAGTTTGTGTAAAGCTTTAAAACGAAAGATATCTCTATCAATATCAAAATTTTAAAAATATTTACCACTAATCAAACGTAAACAAAGTTTGGAGCTTATTGTTTCATGAAATATCGCTGAAGTTGTCAAAACAACTCCCAAATACTGTCTGCGCATTTGATATAAGTAAATAACAGCTATTTTTTAATTAACTTTAAGCGCATCCTTGAGTTTACAAGCAGGAACATCTTCAATAACTTCCTCTCACACATGCGTAAATGATTACCTATTGTGATTCGATTAAGAAGTCACGCAGCTTGTTATACAAAATGACAAATGCACATAACTCCTAATTGAACACAACGCGATAATAAATCCAGCGAATGATCAAAAAAGGAATACAACTCGCTAAAGCGATGATCATTGACAATAATGAGGTGCAATACATGAACGCAAACCTAATAATAATAACAGATGACTTTAATAGAATAACATGATTTTTAGTTTAACAAAATGTGACATCACGTACAGAGTTTAGTTTGTTTGGTTTTCAGTTCAAGGATTGTTCATGCACTTTATATTTCAATTGATTAGCTCTTCGTTTTTTGATTATTAGTACTTTGAAAATGTAAGCGTAAGTTGTTTTTCTGTTTATCTTTGTTTCAATAACTATACATATTAATAACTTCAACTAATTGATTTTATGATAAGCATTAATGATAAAACCCAGAGTTTGTGATGTACACGTCATGTAACAATTTCAGGTTCCCGTTACGACTAAATTCTATGCAATAATAGAAATCGAAGCAAATAAAGCACGTGTATAAAAATTAATTTACTCGATACAAAAATCAGTACGGATAGTTTTTGTGGCATTTGACTTATTAATTCTCACTTCCTACGTCGCCGGTGTGCTGTTTACGTAACCCAATTGATTCTTTAAAAATATTTTGGCAACTTTTCTACGTAGCGCGATAATAGTAATATCTCTTTAAATATAATCACCCGTTTGTGTATCCCAGCACGGGTTTAAGGTATTTAAGAACTACGCGTATGCGGATACGCGCTGTGGAATAAGACAATCGCGAGCGAGACCGGTTGATCATCCAAAGAGAGTGTTCCCGATTAGACAGCAGACATAGACAAATGTCCAACAAAAGTGCACGAGCACAGCGTCGGACAGCGGCTGCGACGGTGGCGGATCCACCGGGCTCGCGGCTGGCAGCTATTGTTATAGCTCCTGCGAGTGATAGCAGCCTGCGGACGCGTCGTCGGCCAACGGCAGCTCATCACCAGCAGAAGCGCGCATCGCATACATGAGCACGAAGGCAATCACAAGCAGGAGGATTAGGTTAATAATTTGCAGCATCTGGGCAAATGCTATCGACTTATGCAGCTTGCTTTGGCACTCTTGCAACTGGGTGACAGAGGCGGTTAGCTTCACGAGCTGGTCGCCTTCGTTTGGAATTTGTACTGCCGAGCCGTTTCGCGACATGTCGCGTTCGTTTGACAACTGGGCGCAGCGAAGTCGATGTTGAGTCACATTGTCTGACGTATTCTGCAATAGATAATACAAAATGAATCAATAAATCAAGTACGAATTGCTAACTCTATTTACCTTCCACAAATCGCCCAACTCGTTAGTAGACATGTGATTGGTGTTAACAGGTACACTCATAACTAAAAACTTGTCCCTTGACAATCCGCTGACTTGATACGCCGGCAGCAAATATATCGAAATGTTGGCACTATCACCAGGTGCTAGCACGCCGGCACTAGGACGCACCCTGAACTTTTGGGGTGCATTTGTCTTCAACTATGAACAAAATTTTAAATGAATTAGAATAAAATTACATTTATTAATTCATAAATACCTTATACGATATGTTTTGCTTGGGATCCGTGTTTTTGATCTCCAAAACACTGACGTATTCATCGCCATCCTTAGTGAAGCTGAGGAGGGTCGACGGGGTGATGCTCAAAACACCACCATCTACGATGACAGCAAAATTGCGTTAATAATTATGGCAAATGAATTAATTTTTATGATATCTTACCGCCGACCGTCTCCTTATCCCAAGACACGTTGCTGTCATTCATTTGGTCACCATGCTCTGCCGCAAAGTGCACCTGAAACACCAAACGCGCCGAGATAGAAATATTGATTACTGCTGCCGCTTGCCGGCGTTGGGCACATTGCAGTGAGCAAATGCCACCACGCACGCCCCTTTGGGCCTACGCGACTACGCGCCGTCAATTCAAAATCGATGCGCTATTTTCGATTCGTGACAACATTCAATTAATTAAGAAAATTGACAATCATAAAACCATGGACAATAAAACCGACCAATTAAATTTCATAGTAATAAAACTTAAAATTAAACAAGCAATACCTTCTTATTGCTTGGTGTTTGTACAACGGAATCTTCCTTAGTTTGTTCCCTAGTTTCAGGAACAAAACTGAACACATAATCGTCTTTGCCACCCCAACATTTCAGCGCTTGATCCTCAGGCACGAAAGTCAGGATAGACGCTTTTTTCAGCATCTGAATTTTCTGGACGGCTTTTGGCGGTAACAAGCTTTTAATAACATTAATAGCCGCTAAAACAGATAAAAATCTCAATTCAATACATTGTAACGCTATTGATTCCTTTATATTTGGACATTGACCAAAACAAAATACAATCACGCGTTGATAATTTCTATTCATTGTTTCATTTCGATAAGCCACATTCAAAATGTCGTAATAACGCAGATAATCGAACACAGATTAATAATTTTACGCCGTTATCAAGCCTATTAGCTCGAACTTTGTATTAATATTCAGCCTTGAATTTTGCATTGGCATATCACAAAATAGAAATAATGAATAGTTTTACTCACCATTGAGAATCCATGACATCTCATAAATAATTATATAGTTGAGGAAGTATGGATAGTATTGCTTGAAGAGGGCAATAATGTATTTAGTAAAATCCATGTCCATATTGCCTAGGCCACATCCTTCCAGATCAAAGAAGATTGTTATTTGTTTACCTTTCTCCTGCCTATAATTGAGTAAACACAATGATTATTCATTTCCATAATATTGTTAGTGTGTATGTTTATACCTTTCCATTCTTTCCATCCAGTATATCACACATCTTTTAACTTCATCCATATCTTTAGAACCCTTAACATGTTTCTTACACTTAAAGATTAACAAGGCACATCCATCCTTATCACGACCCCGCGGGAAAAAGCCGCCTTCGACCATATAGTCCATTCTCACAGTTTGCTCAGAAATTTCTAAACAAAATAGATTGCATGATTTAAAATATTTACATTACTAGTCCAATAAAAATTACCATTAACTTTAAAAGATTTCCTCCATTCTAGTGACTCCTTCATCATTGTAATGGTCACAGCCTGGTCTTTCTCACAGTGTAAGAGGAATCTAGATAACCATTGATCATCTTTTCTAACCCTATTTAAATCAGTTGGATGGTAAGCTGAAACAATGATTTTGTAATCAGATGTTCATTGTCAACTTGTTTATCTTACCTGATTCTCCACTTGCTTCCACTGTCTGAAGGAATGCAGAGCGCAAACTTTCAATCTCCTGTGGGCTCACATCCATCTTAACTGAGTCTGCTTAAAATTTGGCTGAAATCTAAAATGTTACAAAGGTTACTCAGCCGCCAATGACGCCTGCATTCGTGAGTGGAGTGAGTAGACTGACTGAGTGCTGTTGTAATGAGTGTGAGATAATTACAAATGTACGATGATTTATAGAGGGGATGACAATCCATGATGATTATTAGTAAATGATATTGGTGCTTGCACAAATGCAAGGTTGGAATTTGAGCACCTGTTGTCGGATCTTTATCTTATCGTGGTTTATTTTTCAGCTCACCTTATTGCTTCGGCGGCGACGTTTCGGGGTTAGCACGTTGTTGTTCATGCGAGGAGCCGTCAGGGGGAAGCTAAATGTTTAATTTTTCATCACAGCTGAACAGGGGATTTTAAACAACGGAACACGGCAACATATTTGCTACAGCGGTTGCGGCTGTTTCAGCCACAGGACACATTCGAAGCCAGCGCGGCGCTTCGTGCGTGACAATTTCAATTTTCTGAATGTCACGAAACGCCGAAGATAAGGATATGCTTGTTGAAATAAATTGGGGTGAGGGAGACAAAATTAATGAAATTACTTCTGTGAATAAAGTTCAAAGACATTGATGGATGCATACATAATGAAATTAGATAAATAAATACGACTTTTGATGTGAAAACGATCAATTTGAACATGGGCATAATTTATTGTATAGGCAAAGAACGTGCGGGCACATTGCCTGTGAAGGCGTACAGGCGTTATTATGGTTGCCTACATTAAAACAAGATACGACTTTCAAATTGATTTTTATGCACATTAAATAAAATTAAAATATGCACATATGTCATGGAAATAAATATTTGCTAATGCACGATAATGTATCCTAAGTACTCAAGTAATCAGTTAATTATTAGTTTCGCAATGTATTTACAAACTATAATTTCATGATGCATCATCATCATCGCCCACATTATTTCAATTTTTACAATATCTCAGTCATAAGATATTAAACGATATTATTAAATGCTGATATCTTAACCGCGTCCAGGCGATAGTTAAATTACCGCGCTGATCCCACTGTTTTGGTTAATCCCCTACTTACTTTGCGCGCACCAACCGGATTCATTAATTACGCTTAGTTGCTGAGCGTGTTCGCTCTCAGTGGCACGAATAAATCTGCTACCGAACAGTCGTCACTCCATCTCATTACATATTACGTCCGACAATGTGTAAATAGTATACGCGCGCCTCATTTTTGATGCTTTTCTCAGCGCGTTAGCGGCAATTATCAATGCGTTAAGACCGCGATTGCGACTCACCGTGACCGGGTCATTAAACACTTTGATGTCGCCAGTGCGATCGCACTGCTTTAATTGAAACATTATCTTCGACTATCTCATGGAGACCACCCAGCAGGTAGCATCATCTTACAGTATGTGAAGGTTTATAACATCATAACATTCAAGACAAAGGAACTGGTGGCGTAATAATGCGTAACTATAGCGCGACTTCCGGTTCGCGGGACCCTATTTGGACGCAAGTGACGGCTGATCCTGAAGATGGATTAAGAAATTATAATGCTGTGAGTAAAAGTGTTCAAAGTTTGAAAAGAGTTAAATTTTAAGTAAATTTCAAGGAATTTAAGAAAAAGAACCCAACCTTTTTTTGATTTTATAAAAATGTCAATTTTAAGACAGGAAATGGTCGGCAGAGAAATGGAAATGAAAGTTCGCGGGGAAACATTAGTATTGTTGGCGAAACGGCAAAAGCACACGATAAAGAAGGGCTAAATGTGCTTTCGGCAGCTATTTTTATCGCTGGCGAAATGGCCGGCAGCGGTGTTTTAGCATTACCACGGGCAATTGTTGATGCAGGTAATTTTGAAACATTTATTGCGGTGATTCTAAAATGTGTGTTAGTAACAAATGAAAGCACGTACTCTTATGAAATAATAATTACTAACATATGTTTCTCGAGTCCAGATTTCATTTCATGTGTTAGTGTAAATTTTTTAACATACTCATGCTAATAAAACATTATGTCACTATTGACACAAATAACTTTATTATCGCAAGAGAGTAAGACGCAACACATTTGTTTATTTATCATGACCGCAAGACAAAGACAGTATAAAGAGCAATAACTTTTTTATTCTTCAACCAGCTTGCTAAGTGATATCTGTAACACTTACTCATATAATCTGATTAAGTTAATGGTCGTACATGTTCGATAACAATTGCATATTGATATTTAATATTCAGGATGGATTGGAATAATATTACTGGTAGTGTTCTGCTTCAACGCCGGCTATGGCGGTATGTGCCTTGGTGCCTGCTGGGAAATTCTGGAAGAACGATTTCCCGAACATCGAATGCGTTCGCGAACTCCCTACGCGACCATCGCACAACGTGCCGTCGGGACGTGGGGACGTGTGATGGTCTCCGGGTGCATTCAAATCACCCTCTTCGGTGCTGGCACGGTTTATTTACTGCTGTCGTCGATGATATTTCGCGAATTGTTCAGCAGCTACATGCCGGATTTGCATCCGACATATTGGTTTTTGATTATTGCCGTACTCTTAACTCCACCTATGTGGTTGGGATCTCCGAAAGAATTCAGGTATATTACAGGCACTTTAGAATAAGGTTTATATAAAAGACATAAAAATATTTTAGTGTTGTTGGAATTGGTGCCCTGTTGTCGACCGCTATCGCGTGCGTTTTGTTTTTCACCCAAATTGTCATGGATGGGCTAAATAATGACCAGACTGTGGTGCACCAAGTGCACGGTTTTCACGACTTTTTTATATCCTTCGGTACTTTATTGTTCGCTTTTGGTGGGGCATCAACATTTCCAACCATACAGAACGACATGCAGAATAAAAAACAATTTTCTACGAGCGTAATAATTGCATTTTCAGGTGAATTTTTATCTCGTAAATTTAAGTGTCTTATTGTTTACTTATATTTTATATTGTAGTGATACTAGTGTTGTATTTGCCTTTAACGATCGGTGGATTTTTCGTTTACGGCGAGGCGGTCACGCCGAATTTTGCAATGATTTTGAGTAAAACCTCATTGGTTACCATTGCGAATGTATTGATGGCTGTCCATTTAATTCTCGCTTTTCTCATTGTGATTAATCCTGTTAGTCAAGAGTTGGAAGAAATATTCAAAGTCCCACGATGTAAGTTCGGCTTCTTATCGCTACAGTTTAGTTTCATATTTTTTTGTAATATTTGTATTATTTGAACAGATTATCATTGGAAGAGATGTCTCCTGCGGACGATGATGATACTAGCAATGGTGGTAATAGGCGAAACGGTACCCTCATTCCGGAAGATTCTCGCGTTGGTCGGTGGCTCGACGATAACGCTGTTGACGTTTGTATTTCCTCCGTTCTTCTACATGCGGTTGTGTAATCAGTCTAGTCCGTTGTGGCCGGAACGACACATTCCCGGCTACATCAAAGTCTACCTTTGGGAGCTGATATTCATTGGCTTGCTAGGCGGATCGGCGGCTACCTATAGTGCGTTGAAGTCAATCATTGACTTTTAGTTTCAACTACAGTCCACATTACACTCGATTAGAAAAATGATATTATTCAATACCAATATGAATGATTGATATTTGTTTGAACTAGTGATCTGTTTAAGGAAGTGATAAGAATGACATTATTTATGCTTGACTAATACCAAAATAATACTGTTGTAGTTGTTAGCGTTTTTATATGTTTTGTGTGGGTCAGCAAAGCCACACACAATGAGATTAAATTTTTGAACCAATAAATTTATTATTTTTCACTTAGTATAATAAATTACATATTCAAATCATTGTCAAACGATAAAATTGGTTTTCTCGAATTACATACTATACATATTCATTTTCAAAAAGAATGAACAATGTTTGATTTTGTCGTCGTCAATCATAACTTACAAACATGAATTTTTTAACCATTTTCTCAACAAACGGATGAGTACTCATGTTGAACTTGTTTAAATTTAAGCGTAAACGCCGCGCGAGAGCGGGCGAAAAGCGAGGTGCGCCTCCGCCCGATCACCGCGGCTTTAAAACCGTCTTAAATGTCATTCCTAAGCAGTCTTATTTGGAAACACCTCTTATAATTAACCCTGTTAGTTCAACGGTATGGTCCTACATAATGGTACATTTTTATTGCCGAGCGTGTCGAAATCGCGGTTAGCGCGCCATTTCGAGACGCTCGTTCGTCCAAACTTACATTTTTATCATCGAGTCTTTCTAAACGAAAGCGTAAACAATGCGAACGCATAAATCGTGAACGTCGTCCTACATTTTGGTAGAAGCGAAACCAAAATCAAACGATTTTTAAACAAATCACTAAAAATAGTGGAATTATAACGTGTGTCGTGTGGTATATCTTGTGTGCTCCTCGGATCGATGCGCGATGCGACGAAAATCATCGCTAAGTTAACTACTACATACAATATGATAGTACGATTACAGCACAATTAAATTAAAACTTTTGAACATTTAAACAGCTATTGAGTTTTCACAATACAGTTATATCTCTTACTTGTTATGGCAACTACGGAGACTTCTTCTTTGTTCTAGGATTTTTTCTGTGTGTACTAGTTTTAATTCGTCGTTAAATAATTCGAAATCTCGCTGTGAGATAAAGAAATTGTTAAAGAATAACATTAATGGTTCAAACTACCGAATGGCCCAAGAAATTCAGGCCACCACATCATCAGGGGTCACAACAGTCATTTCAATAACGATCGGAGACAATTGATTTCTTGACACAATGTACCGTAGTCAGTTACCTAGTAAATGTGTGAAATGTGAGCCATCGTATAATTAGTTGTCAAAGAGTTGTGTATAGATAAACAAATCGTATGCTTGTAAACTCGTCTGAAACCCTGTTGAGATATAGGTGGAACTCAAGGTGCGTTCGAAATGTAATCGTTTAAAGTTTCGTAAATTAGTCACACAGGGTTGATCCAGCATTTTGGTTTGGTTGTTTTTCGTTATGTACACACATGAGCAGAGATGTGCGTGAAGTGACGGATGTTTCGCGCAACCAAAGAAAACGTCAGCTACCAAATAGTTTGCATTTGCACGAAATTCGCTACGGCCTACGATCGGAATTAATAGAATGAAATACAGTTCGGAACATAGACAGCAAAAGTTCACTCATTCACGTACAACGTTTTAATTTTTAACACTGAACTACCGAATCCAGATAGTTTAGCATGACGAGTACTTATGAGTAACATTTATCGTTAATTACCTAAATTTGGCTTCCTCATTTGTGTTGTTGTGTCGCTGAATGATGTTTGTTTTGTATATCGAATAATCTAGCTACCGTTTCATGATAGATGCGTCAGTCAATAGCGTTGGTCCTTATTGCACTTTGGACGGCGATGTCCAGGCCCCCAAATAGGCTGAAGTGGCAACCGTCAAAATACTGCTGAGTAAGAAATAAAAAAGTAAGTTGGCAATCATGAGAGGATATCCGGGAGAAAGAAAGTTGGCGTTACCTGAATGTCCAACGGTAAGAACTTCGATCGGAAGCGATCCCCGACGCCGAGCCAGCAGCGTGTCGGGTACGTCGTTCTTCTGCATCAGCAACCTAGATAAGGAATCAGCGTTTGGTTCCAAGCCAATGCAGACGGTTTCGGGCCCGCCCGAGCTCCGTCTGCGCAATTGTTTCTTACGCCGTTTACCATTGAGACTAGTGTGCCGCGTGAGCAGCTCGCGGCGCTCGCCAGCAGCGCCAAGCGGTGGGAGATCCGTTGGAGCCGAACCTCGCCTCTGGTAGTGCCAGAGTGTAAACGGTTGGTCAGCGGCAGGCGGCGGCACACTCGCCTCTAGGTGAGCGTCGTCTTCGAAGCGGTGACGTGCCACGTCCACAGGTACCGAGCCGCGGCGCAAAGCATAGTCGCTGGTAGTACATTGCCCCCCGCCAGCAGGAGGCGCATGCTCGTCACCGCGTACTAACGGCACCAACGAAACTGGTGCGGATCCTCTCCGCTTCGATAAATTCTACAATAAAAGAGTAAAAAATTACAATTGCGATAATTTTGCAAATTAGATTAATAGGCTTACATTCGTTCTGCGTGGATCCACATTTTCCTTTTCGTATCGCTGTCCGTTATCGGACAACTTCTGCAGTTTGAAGCTCTTTTCTTTGGGTTCCTCCGGTTCGCGCTTACCGCTGGAAGAGATTGAGGGCTTCGGCGGTGAGGTGTCGGTAAACTCCGATGGTCGGCCATTGTTGGGACTCAACACAGCTATTGATGGTATCGTGTAGTGTGGAACGTGTGATATGTTTTCGTGTGAGCTCTCCGAATCGGACTTGTCCTCCTGTACGACCTCAGCGCACGTGGACATTTCAACGGTGGCAGACATGTAGCGCATACGGACATAGGGCTGCGGGGGCGGGAAGGTTTGCTGGCGTGTGAGGGCTTTCGTCGGTTGCCCGGACCCGCCGTGCAGCACCGAAGAAAGCCGTCCCGCAGCAGCGCTGCTCGTCATAGACGCAATACTGGGTTCCGGAAGAAGATTCTCGGCACTCAGCGGTCTCTCGGGTTGGTCGTCGACTGGAAAATTCACATGTCAATAAAACATTCCACTACTAAAAATTCAGGAAAGGGAATACCACATGAGCTATGCATACCGCCGCTGCTTGAAGAGAGAATCGATGAGCGCGATTCGAATCTCATAAGTTCGTCTTCTTCGCGCAAACCACTCGATGCGCGAGAATCGGATGGTGCTGGACTCTGACGACGTATCGGCAGACTTTCCCGTCGGTATAGCGTTCGTGGCAGTGATTGCTCCATATTAACAGGTACAGAGTGTCTCCTGACGCCAATTGTGCTTTCCAGCGTTGGCACAGCCAATGATTGTCTCCTGGATTCTCTGCTGAATGTTCAAAACACTCATAAAAACCATATTAAATTTTCAATAAAAACCACTTACCTTGGCGCAGGTAAGAATTCAGTGATGCTGGGTATTTCCGGAGAGAGTTTGGATGGCTCTTCATCCTCGTCGTCGCTCAGATGTTGTTCCGGCTCGGCGTCCGACAGTTCGGTATGGGTTTCCTCCGCCTGTTCGGCCGCCTCTTGTGCATCCCACTTCTTCCGGTTCGACTCCAAATAGTCCATCATGTCCGTGGACAAATTGCTTTTTAAGAATCGATGCCATTCGGTGAACAAGGGCGAGACAACAAATTTGAAAAAGCCTGCAATCGATCCGGCAAATCAACATTTATTTCGTCGTAACGATGCTTGACAATATCTACCTGCTTGTATCTTGGCAATCGACGTTGATTGTTGATCGCAAATGGAAGTGACTGGAAGGTTCAGCTTGCGTTCAAATTCACCCTGCCTGAAAAACTCGTCGCACACTTTCAAACTCCACTTGTGCGAGATGTCCCACGGCCGTGTCGGGTTAGAGATGTCAGCGCACTTGAGCGAAATCTGCAATATGAACTGGCGGTTTTCCGCCTTGCGCAAATCGAGCGTGTCCTCGTCCAGATGTTTCTTGAACTTTGTTAGAAACTCCTGCTGCCTGTTGATGTCGGTGGCGAGTATGAGGTCACGGATTTGCACCTCCAACTCGCTCTTGTAAGGCAAAACTTGCTCGGCGACACCGCTCTCCAAGAGACAGCCAACTGCCGACCGCCAATGGTGGTTTTCCAATACTGAGCTATTCTGAAATATTCACAAACCATTAAAATACAATCAAACTTGTTGAGTTTAAATTGAAACCTACTTGATATAACATGGCAAGATGATTTGAAGTGGAAATAAGAAAGTGTTGATTGACACCAGGATGGTCCAGGTCGTGGGCAACGGCACCAATCAACGCCGCCATTACCTCCAGCGGCGTTAAGTGCTTTTTGATCTTCTCCTCTTGCAGGAAACAGTGCATTGCTTGTGTCACGTCTGTGGCGTGAATAGAATTATGATAGGGGTTCGTGCTGTGATAACCCTCCTCAATTAAAGCTGTAACAATATAATTAATCATAACCAAATTCTAAAACTACTCTTGGCTAACTTACTGAAAAGTTTCCACACTCTGACGACATCCAGATTAAAATAATCCAGGAGTCCGTACCAGTAGAAAAGATGGACGCAGAGTACTGGCAGTGAGCGACCACCGGTGACGGTCTCCAACGTAAACGCGTTGAATGCCCAGAGGCCGCAGCGCGTGAGAATACGCTCCACCTGCCCGTGGTGGATGTCGTCGAGAATGGCGGCGTGATCCTGCGCCAGGCAACGTGTTGTTAACTTCTTACGCCGACGTTTGTGCATGGTAAGAAAGCGGCCAGAGCAACCCGGCTGCGGCGTGCATCCCATCGCGTCCAACAGTACCCAGTCCTCCTTCGAGAAACACCTCTGCGCCGCGGGCACCTCCACAGGCGCTGCACGAGAAACAAAATGCCAGCGTTAAACTTCAACAATAAATTTCAGCCTTATCACCGAAAAACGGCAAGTGTGAGCCAATCGATAATTGCCGCTCGAAGAGGGATCGGATATCGAAACGAGTGTGTTGTAAAGATAAAAAATAACGATAGCGCGCGCGTTGTTCTCAGAACAGACTTGAACGCAAAACGTTTTCGTCCGGTTGTCAAGCAGAATATAAAATTTCGAAGTGCATGGGAGAAGAAATTTAGAAAGTTGACGCTCCTCGCTTTGCGCGGCGCGCCATTTGTACGCAACATAATTATTAAAAGCGTTTCTTTTCATTTTCATTCATTCCCCGCCTCGCAATTTATGTTCTAATAAAATCGAATAAAACCCGCGCAATCCTACTCAAAACTTTGTGTAAACTTTGACGTCGACACTCGGCGGTTTACGAAATGCGTTTGTGTACACGACGCGCATTTGCATTAACATACCTATCGATGAATAAAATCTATGCCAATGTTATTCTCCTGCACTTAGCGTAGTAAACACGCGTAAACGCGCGTCCGCTTGAATGTGGGCAGTGCCGAAATATTTTATGTGTATATGCCCGCAGCGAAAACGCGACGTGCGGGCTAGCACAGAATTTTAATTTCTTCGACCGGCTGAAATTACGATCGCGAACGCTTTCGCACAAATGATTTGATAGATATCCACAACCACAACTGAGTACACATATCGTACAACTATCAAAGTATTACATGGCCGCATGGGTATAAAACTGCCGCGTAGACATTTAAAAAAGTAGCGCTCAGTTCATAAAAACGCTAGTTTTATGTTTATGTTTGATCGAGCTGGAGACGACGCTCAATTTGCATGTGCTGCACACATTGTAAAAACAAGCAGATCTATTTGCTCCATTTCTTTTAATTAATAGGAACGCACAAATTAAAATCTATTCGATTTTAACAAGTGGACTCACTCAATACGTTTTATTTTTGTGCGCACAAACCAATTAAAATGTTTTGTCGTGGCGCAAAACAAACTTTCTTGTTCGACAACTAGTGAAATTACAAATGCATAATTATTTACTTGTGTAAAATATCAAACTAGCTACCTATGAGGTATACTCGAAAAAAAGTAAAATATGTTGCGAGTTAATTAAGTTTTAATTATTTTCTCCACGAAGAAAGATGAATAGTCGACAAACTTTACCTATTAATTCACCAACATCAAACTGGAATCGCTCGAATGTCTTCAAGTGAAACGTTGAATTAAATTCCAATTAATATAAACGCCACGTTAATGGCTCGGCGGTTTGTTCACTTTCGGCACATTAAACACGAAGCCACGAGAGCAGAGGAGTCAAAGTTTTGCACTTGCTCGCTGATCGGCGGAAGACTCGCGACTAATGCATTCCGCGGCGACGAAGGAAGTGCACGCGAGTATTTCGGGTTTCTTCTCGGTCGAGTGGAGAGCGAGTTCGTCGACGCGCGAACTCCAACGCCGATAAATTTAGACCGCTGGCTGCACCAAGTGTGGTGTATTGCAGCTATTGCGCGCACACACTCGCATACAACATACGCCGGCGTCGGCGGCGAGTAATGAACTGTCGCGTGCGCGATGCGTGTGCTTAGAAATGCAGGTTATTAACATTCACAACTCGTGCACTCCTTCCATCCGTCCATCCATCCAATCCATCCTTCCTTCCACGATCAAGGTGTACGAGAATAGGAGTGTAGAATGTGTGTGTGTAGATGTCGACGTGTTTTTGTTTTTGCACAGCGCGCGCTTTATTTTCATTTTCGCATCGGAATTAAATTTCGCCTTAATCGTGCACACATCGTTCCGATTAAAAGTGAAATCACTTGGCACACGATCGCGATAAACACACGCAAATTAACGCATTACAGATGTTTTGTGTCTCAAGCGTGTTTTTCTTGCGCAGCGACGCTATTTATCATCGAAATGAGTGTTTGTTTTAAAATTAACATCCGTCTTTGTTTGGCTTGTTAAGTCGGGAGGTTTTTTCGTTCCATGTGTGTGATAAAAATGTAGACGCTGATGAATTGACTTAGTTATACATTTTAGTGTTAGATAACTTATGCTAATTAATACTTTAAGTCGTAAACTTGGAGCAATTATTGAAAAATTTCAGTTTCGTTTAACTTATTTCATTGTTGCAGAATTTAGACGTTGTTTTCAAGTATGCGCTTCGTGCTTATCTAAATTTAACAACCACTGAATTTAATTGTTTCGATAACGCGGAGTTTAAAGTGTAAATTTATTAATTTCGATAAAAATGCACGTTACGCAGTTTAGCGTAACCAGACGTCGCATAATATTTAGGTCAACAAGATAAATTGAGCGAAGCGATTCCGAATTGAATCAGTTTAGTTCAACTTGTCGCCGAATCAACGCACGACATGTACGTTTTACTCGCGATAGTTGTAGTCCTCTTGACGTACGTCCTGTTCGATCGTTGGGAAAGGCACAAGAAATACAAGAATGTTTCCAAGATACCCGGACCGCCCACAAGTTGGTTGTATGGAAGTATTGTCGATTATGGTTCTACAAACGGCGGTATGTTTCAAAAATATTTTCCTCTCTAACAACGCGCAATAAACGTAAAAGTGGAAGCGACGATGCGGCAAGATTGTGCTCGTAACTGTAATCGTTTCCGCAGACCGTTTACGGAAGCAAGTGGACCTGGTGCGAGAGTACGGACTGATGGTGCGCTTGTGGCGCGGCTCGCAATTGTCGATCATATTATCGGATCCGGACAAACTGCAATGGCTGCTCAGCTCAAACGAGCACATCGCTAAATCGCCTGGGTATAACGGCTGGAAGCTCTGGCTGGGCAAAGGCCTGCTCACTAGCGAAGGTAGTACACGATTATGACGTGGATAACGATCGCTTTCAATAATAAAACGCGTTGATTGTGTGCGCAGGAAATTATTGGCGGAAGCACCGGAAGATCATCACGCCGACGTTCAATTTTAAGATTCTAGAGCAATTTACCACGTACATCAATTCCAACTCAAAAACTCTGATAGACCTGCTCAAAAAAGAAGTCGGAAAGAAATCGTTTGATATCGCGCCCTTTATCAGGAATTACAACATCGACGTGATCGGAGGTTTGTGATGTTTATCGTTACATTTTTTATACGTTTTTTTCTTTCTTGATGTTCGTGTTGGTTAGAAACGGCGATGAATACGAAAATCAACGCGCAACTGAATCCGATATTGGATTATACCGAGGCGGCCGAGGGTTACATGGACATCTACATCCGGCGCTACTTCTCGTTCTTCAAGCAATTCGATTTGTTTTTCAAATGGACCGACGACTACAAGCGCCAACAGAATTACGTCAACTCGCTGAAAGGCCAAACGGAGAAGTTCATCCAGCAGCGCAAGCTGGAACGCGCGATGGAGGCCAAACAGAAAGATACCGATAACGCAGAATTTGGCATCAAAAAAACCAAGGCGTTTCTAGATCTGCTGCTTGATCTGCAAGGCGAGGACTTAATGACCGACGAGGAGATCCGCCAGGAAGTTGATACGTTCATGTTTGCTGTGCGTACTCCTCGTGAAACTCATTACTGACAACTAGTTTGTTACTATAAGTTTAAATTGTGAATTGGCAGGGTCACGACACGGTCACGTCCAGCACGATGTTCTGCCTGCTCGAGTTGGCCAACCATGCAGACATTCAGCGCACAGTTTACGCCGAAATAAAAGACTTCCTTGGAGCGAACCCAGCGTCGGATGTTAGTTTCGGCGAGATTCAGAACCTCGAATATCTAGACCTCGTCGTTAAGGAGACGCTGAGGTTCCACTCGGTGGTGCCGTTCATCGAGCGCGAGCTGAATTCGGATGTGACTTGGGGTATTTAAGCATTAAGTGTGCAGCACATAGGCACGAATTGTGGATTAAATTTTTCGACTTTTTTCCCCAACAGATGGAATCTGCCTGCCCAAGGGTACGGTCATTTCAATCCTTCCGTATGCAATTCATCGCTCCGAACGATTCTATGAGAAGCCGGACGTTTTCGATCCGGATAGATTCCTGCGGGAGAATGCGGAGCAACGACACACGTACGCGTACATCCCTTTTAGCGCCGGACCAAGAAATTGCGTTGGTATGTTGCCAAAAGCGCGCATATTAAAAGAATTGGAGGCCGAGAGCTTCCAATGTTCCAATCGAAATTTATTCATGCTGGAATGCCAACATTTCGCGTAAAAAAATATCAATTTGTGGAAGAGAAATTAATTTATTGATTTTCAGGTCAACGCTATGCCCTTTTGGCGACGAAGGCCGCCGTTGTTCAAATCCTCAAGAACTTTGAGTTATTACCAGCCGAACCTAAATTCACTCCAGAGATTACTAATACGGCAGTGCTTAAAACCGAAAATGGAATTTGCATTCAACTCAAAATGCGGGAGCATTAAATACATTTAAATACAAAAATATCGACCATGGTGTTGAAGATTTCGAGGTTAGTTGAATGTCAAAAACGTTCCTTCTGTGCACTTGTGCGCAAAAGTGAAAATTCCCATCCGCTTGAGTTTTAATTAAAAATAAAATATTTTTCTGTACTCACCGACCATTTTGATGTACACGGCGTTTTGTTCGTTTGTATCTATTGTGACTCCTTCGCTTTTCTGCAACAAGAGACAAAAGAGGCATGAAACACGCACGGCATCAGTAAGACAAAAGCGGGATGAGTGACGACGAGCGCTGCGAGCATGTGTGGGGTGGTTGTGTCGTGACGTCAGCGTTCCAAGCGGAAAACGGGAACGTGCCTGGCAAAATGCCGAATGATGCTGAGGCAGAGATTCACGCACCACCAACAACCCCCCGTGTGCGTAGAGATCGATGTAATATTTGCAAAACTGTGTCGAGCATGTACATGTGTATAATATCGGGATTATACACATCCTCAACCCCCAACGTTGTCCCACCAAGTTTGCTTTTTTTTTTCGTATAATAAAAGAAGCGCGAACGCAAAAACGCAATGAGATAGCGAGGAGATGGCGTTGTAGTCGCGCGACGGGGGTTTTATTGTAAAAAAATGGAACACAAAAGCGAGCGTACAGTCAATATTTTTATTTTATTAAAGTGGAGTTCTATATGCTCGCCGTTTGCATGCGGAGACGACACAAGAAAACACTATGCCTAAATTTGGCATGATGTGTGCTCGCTTGTCGACGCCGCGCGTCGGCGGCGTCGTCCTAGTGACGATGAATCGACAAAACCGATAAAGATCTCGGGCGAATAAAAACAGAACAAAGAGGAACTTCACTTTGTTTCTTGGAAAGTATGCGTATAAATCAGAAAATCCTGTGAAGAGTGATATGTCGAACGCAGCTATAACCATTATTATTTCTGAGAAGCAGACTTTTTTCCTCTCTTATTTTATCACTGTGTTTTTTTACACTTTATAGCCCAACGGTGACACTGAACGGATTTAAACTTAAGTTAAAATTCAGGGACGTAAAACGTATAAAATTTTTAATTGCCGAACAAATTTAATCCTTCTTTATGCGGCTGTATAAAACGTTATTGCAGCGACAAGCACGGGGCAGATTATAGTTCGTTTAATACGCTTAAAAATAAATTAGAAATAAAAATTAACGGATGAAGGCAATGTGGAAAATAGGTATTCCCATACCCCAGCTGTGGGACATTTTATCCGGGTTATTAGTCACGGGGTGCTGTTAAAACACTTATCTTGCGAAAACGAGCGCCCGGCAAGAAGTGTAATTGTAATTTAAAAATTAATAAGACAAAGTTTGTGTCGCACAGCGCACCGGGAACAAAAGCGAAGAGAAATGAGAAAACATCCAAAATTCGCTTGTAAAAGTAAAGTTTTAACCATTACGAATGTGCTAAGAATAAAACAAGTTGAGGTGATGTTCCAAAACAACCAGCATAAAGAATTTACGTGAATAAAAAGTTGCCTACACTAGCACGCGCAAAATTCTTGCGAAATAAGGTTTAATTCATCTTTAACACGTAAAGTTCCATTATTTTAGGTAGAAATTAAGCCATATCTAATTAAGCCGAATCGAAACGCGGTTGGGGCGTTAGCACGCGCTGGGTAATATAAAAGCACACGCTGGCGATCGCCTTCTAATTGCCAATTTGTACAATTGGCGCGCGTGCATCGCATCCCGTTTTCGGCTCTTCTGGTCCTCGCGCGCCGTGCGTTCCACGCATAAATAGGAAGTAGTCGGATGAACGAATTTAATTACCGTGCGCCGGCAAATGCATTTCGCTTTGATATTCGGTGATATTCATACAAACCAAAACCAACACCACCACCCGCATGCAAAACCAGCAAATGCGACGTGTTTCAATTTCCAACTTGTGTGGGATTCGCTTATGCTTTCCGCGCAGTCACTAATTATTATTGCAGTTATTGTGCACTGACCGCGTGCATCTATCCATCCATCCATGCCACTGGCTAGCTGGATATATATTTATATATCTATATTGCTGCTTCAAGTTGCAATTTCTATGTGCACTCATCATGTGTCCATATAAAATAAATTTGATTTAATTTTGCGCGAGAAAAGTTTACGAGTTGTAAAAATATAACGCTAGTGCAAATATTATCTGAGTGCGCTGCAGCAGCAAAACAGGATTTATCCGGTAAGGCAGCAGCGATTATTATTATTACAGCAGACAAAAATTAAAACATAATTTTAAGAGCAATGCACTCGGACGTCTGCAAATAAGCGCATTATGCAGCGCAGCGTGTATTTGTACCTTATCTAAGTGGGACTCATAAATAAGCTTAGCTTGTCTTATTGAAACAGCTATTTTTGTTATGTCCTCGTATCGTATTTGAAAAAAAAAATCCTGTTTTGCACTTTTGTTATCTTTTGCTTCACAAATTAGGAAAAAAATGTGGATTTTTTTATTTACGCAAAAAAAAACAATGAAATGTTATTAAAATGAAACTATCGGCAAATTTCATGATTAAAATGAGAGAATTTTCCCGATAGGGTTATGAACAGCTATGCAAAGATAGTATTTTTATAAATTTAATAACCAAATAAACTTTCTATGTGAATTGATTTCTAAAAAGATAGGAAATATAATTAATTAACAGTTCGTTCGCAGCGTGCTCTTCCAAAGAGCAATGCTTTTAGCTTAATTAATATTTTGTGAGAAATAAAAATCATTTTTACAATGACGAAACAAAAAAAGTAAACTCCCAAACCATGTTCCGTTTTTTATAACAAAATTTCAATAATTGAAAATTCCCTTTACGCTACGCAAATGAAATGAATTAAAATTTAAACCAGCGCCTTTCAGCACGCGCTCGTAACTTATTCCGAAACGTAATCAGTAATCGGCAAATAGTTGTTGCGAAGTTGGCTAGCGACAGATCCGGGCGCAGATTCGAAGACACCGCATAGTTAAGCGTCGGCGGTATAAAGTTGGATGGCTTTATGGGCTTTTCGCCGGGAGTTTGCCGAACAGATTAAAGCCACTTGCAATCGAAGTTATCCACCGTCGAGCAGCGGCACACATACGTTACGCGTGGCGCGATCCGTTCGTCTTAGCACCGCCACCAACCACCACCATCACCATACTCCTTCCATCCTCCTTCGAAGAGGGTGGTTCATCCGTTTGAGGTTGTAATCCGCGTCTGTTCGTAACTCTCTGACGATTCGCAAGTTCACTTCACTTCACTACGCTCCACTTCGCTTCGCTTCACCCTTCAAGACACACACGCACTCGCGGTTGTGTATTAAGTGGCGCCCTCGATACATCTCGCCCCGAAATCATCTTCTAATTCAACTTCCATTTTGATTGCTTCATTGTTTACATTTATTAAGCACTAAACTTTACTATCCATCTACGCGAATTAATTACACTATAGCGTAAAATTTAATTCAATAGTTTTTTTTTCTCTCTGCGTGTTATGAATGTGTGGACAAAATTCTAATTCAAGCAATATGCTTGATTAAAAACAAACACGCCATAAAATCTCATTAATTAGCCGATAATACTTGAAAACGTTGGTTGGTTTTTCATCAATTAAATGCTTTTAATTACAGCGCCAGCGCTAGGATGCAAAAACGCAATCGCAAAATCATTTGCTTGTTTTAATTTGCAAATTGCGTACGGTGTTTTTTTAATGTTTTGCACGCGATTATCGTGCTGCGAACGAATGTTTACTAATCACTCCACCACACAACATGCAGAATTGTTCCGGCAATGTGTTACATAATACGCGACAAGGAAAATCTACATAGACACACATTGCATTAAGTGCCGTTTGCGAGCGCGCAAAAAATGGCAGCAGCCGTAAAACAATCGCTCACACAGCCGGCTCGTACATCACCCGCCATTAATAAATCACGTATTGAATCGCTTGTTAGTCTTGTTACGGACGATCATTTTCTACCGAGCTGCCAACATTTCATTTCATCGAGATGATGCCAACAATGCGCCGAGAAAAACAGACTTTGTCATTGACAATCACTCAATCGCCATCTTGAATTTTTTTCAAATTGGATTTAATTAAGACAGTTATTAGATTTCGGCGCGGATAGCATTATCTCGACGCAAATAAAAGTTAAATTAATTAGTGCGAACTTTTCGCATCGCAGGCGCACACAAAAACACGCGGCGAGCAAACCACTCGAAAGTGACTTTTATGCAAATCGATAACCGGAAGAGGTGGAGGGCGAATCGGAGGTGGCAAGAAACCGAATTCTCGAGAGGGCCGGTCTCATCCTTTTATCGTGTTAAATCAATGACACCACACGAGCGACGGGGATGACGCTCTGGCGCTCTCTGCGGCGGCGGCGTCGCCATGGCGACCCATCCTCTCATCGGCCGATCATCATCGTCATCGCGGCGCGCAATTCGCGCCCCGCCGCCGTTATCAGCTCGCTTGCCGCTTCGCGATGCATGAATCGCTTAATTAATGGACGTGGTGCGTGTCCATCGACCCACCAAGCAGCCGGAAATCTGCTACACCGGAGATAAACCGATTGCTGGGGTAACATAATGAACTTAATTTTGTTTTCGTCAGATTGATTGCATAGGTTTTTGGAATGGGCGCATGCGCAGCGTGTGCATTCGAGTTGTCTCGAGCGTGTAATCTGAAGTTCAATCCCGCATAAATCCGACAGACGAGCATGAATTATTAAATTATTCATAGACGCCCGCGCGCGCGCCCGTATCTCGCCGAAATCTCTTTGCCCCCAAACGCCTCAAAGTAACCGTTTACCGCAGCGCGTCTAGCCTTCTGCGATTCGCATTAAAGACCCGCCAAGGACGAGAATGTCGTCTCTGCGCCACTTACCAAAGTGCCACACATATGCCACACGCAGCACGCATCTTACATATTCATGCGGTATGCGTAGATGTAGTATTCGGATTGCGTCTTGTCAGCGCACCAGCGCAAAGAAAATACGACGTACAGCTGTCAAATGAAAAGATAAAAATTCAAAAATTCACAAAAGTTGCCGCGCTGTATTATAGGTGGATTAAATTCATAGCCATACATCACCCTCGCGGTTGGGCTGATTTATTCAAACGCGTTTCCGCCGCCACCAGCGTTACCAGTGCCGCCGCCGTCGCTGGTTCTTATTACGTCTTATCCGCGTCGTTATTGTACTAAACCCGTAAAGCATCTGGTGGCAGCGCGCAGCGTAACATGACAGCTTCTGTGTTCTGCTGGCGCGATATTGAAAACGCAGCCGAACGTGCGACACGCCGCCTCACAAAAGTGCGACATGTGTCTGGCGTCTAGCAGGGGGTTACCTGCAAGCACACAATGTGTGTGTGCTGACTGAAGGAGAAGGAAATGTCTGCCGCACGTCGTCAATTCCCATCGAGATAAGGCGCGAATGTCAACTGTCGCCAATAGTGTAAGAACAAAAAACACATAAAACAGAAATATAATTAATTCGAAACGATTTTCGAAGCAAACAAAAAAAAACACATAAACCACTCATAAAATTAAATATTAATGATAATATGACTAGCATAATTCATAATTTATTTAGTTATATTTACAAATGTAATTTAAAAATTGAGCCAAACCTCTTTTTCGGTCTTTCTCTGTGATTATATTCCGTTTGTTTGTTTGCATGCTCATTTTCCATGTGTAGATCTAGTTCAAGGGTACGCACGCCTGCTCACATTGCGTCAAAGTACCCATATTTTAGCTACTTTGCATTTTGTTATGATAGTACTACGAGCCACGCCATGCCACGCCACGCCACAGCCTTATTTAAAGTCGGCGCAGCGACAAAGAAATGTTAAAAAGACCGCGCGACATTTACAACGATGTAAAAACTTTTCGTAACTTTGTCCGCGAGCTTTTTTTACTAGCCGCAATAACACTCTCCACGCCGGAGGCATTTCTAGATGTAGATGCGTGATTACGCCCCGAAAAAAATTAAAATAAAAAAGCAAGAAAAGTTAAATTTTATTTCGCTTTGTGTGTCGACGTTAGCGTTTGTTGTAAAATATCCGAAATGTCCGTGGGCGGTCGCCCTCTCGCCTGACTTTGACAATAGTTATCCTGTGGATGAAAGTAAAGCGCTTCGGTTGTTCACGGCGTGGAAGACATCGAAATGTGCAAGCCTCGCGGAAAATATGTAAAGCCGCGCTTGGATGGCTTCGCGTAACCCCTTTATTATACAGCCGCCTCCAACAGCAGTACCCCGTCAGTACTTCGAGGGGTTGACATTGCCGCTGGCAGCAAGCGTGTGCGCCCGAGAAGAATCGAGTTGGAGCGGTGGTGGAGGCGGCAGCGTGCGCGCCGAATAAGGGATCGAATGTTGTGTGTGGGGTGAACAACCTTATTTCGAGTTGGCTCGTGCTGCGCGTGGAATGTGAATTTCGACCGACGCTCACACTCTCTTCCCTCGAGTCACTATCGCGAGCGAATATTGTTTTCAGTTGTGATGGCAATATGAATATGAATATTAATACTGACAGAAATATGCAATATTCATATCTACATAAATTACACAATGCCATCTAGTGTCAACGCATTGTACTAAATGCCAATCGCTATTTTCAGGTTATTCATGCATATTGTTCCACTACGATGTATTTACATCCTTTGTGCGTAGTTTTCGCACAACACAAAGTAAACGTAATAAACCGCAAGTAAGGTAGAATGCAGCAGTCGATAAATTTCGCTGCAGTGATTCATTTGTCATATTGTACCGGCGCTGAACTCAAAGCCACGAGCATCTGATAATAATATAAAATGCTTATTTTATACTTCCGGCCCGGAGGGTAAATTATTATGCACGGTGGAAGTTGGAAGTTATTGATAAATGGGGTGCTCCAAAGGAGGAAAAAGCAAATAAAAAAAGCTTGCGACATTTTTCCTTGCCATGATTTATACTCGGCGTTCTTTTTGCATAGTTTTAAAGCAAAACTTTATGTACTGCATTTTGCATATTTTACTACTTTTAATTAAACCGCACTCTCCTCCTTGTGAAGTAGATAATTAATTAGGAAACTAGTTGCGAGTAAATGTTGGTTGGAAGAGATTTATCGTGAAAATACCGAGCAATTGCCTTGCGGTCGACCGTCGACATTTGATAAGTATGCTTACAACATAAACAGTAATTTGTTAATGCACGATGAATATTCAGTGCGTTCATTATCTGATTGCGCGCGTTATCACGGCTCATTATGGAATGCTCGTCGTGCACTCGCCGATTTTACGCAACTAGTGCGTTAAATTTGCTGCAATTTCAAGGTCATCACAACAGAAACAAAATCAACGTTGATTTATTTATTACCAGCGTAGGCGTTAGCAGGGGAATCGATAATTTAATTACGCTACCCTTTGACGAAGCGAGAAACGCGGCGATAAGTTTGGTCGATAAAAGGTTGTTGTTAAACACTGCTGTCAAACTGATGAGGGCGAAGAGGCGATGAGATTTGTAAATGAAATATTCAACGTCCCAAGAGAGAAAGATTCTAATAGTTTTGCTGGTAAATCTTGTTGATGGGTGGAAAACTCACCTGAAACAATTACGTGAGATAAGAATAACGAATACAGAGGTCAGTTTCGGGTGTTAATTGAGGTGAATAAGGGTGGGACTCGTACTTGTTCAGGTTCTTCCGGCGCGGTCAGCTCCTGGTAGGACTCGCCGCTGCCGCGGCGGCTGGGCGCGCCGCACATCGCGCGTCTGAAGGCGCGCGCGACGAGCGAGCATAGCCCACAGTGGCGGTCGGCCCGCCGCCCGCTACCGCCAGCGGCGGCGGCATCGTCGCCCGCGGCCGTCGTCAGCTCCTGCCCGCTGCCATCCTTGCAGCACGCCACCGCACCACTTATGCCGGACCGCGAACGCTAAGGAGGTGAGCGCGCGGGTCGCGACCGCGCGCCCCTATTCGCACACGGTCGCTAGCGTTCACGCTGCCGCCCCCGACGGCGTCATGCGTGCTGCCGGCACGTGCCGCCGGCGTTGCGTCTGCTTTTATTATTTTTGCGTTTTATTATCTAATCTGCAAAAACGCAACGATGTGTTATTCCGCAGCAGACGGCAAACAAGTCGTTTAATGCCCCGTAGTAAAAACACCTGTTTCACGTGTTGTGTGTGCGGCGCTTGCCTGATGCGACAAATTCATAATTAATTTCGCTCATTTCCCCCCGATTGGGGAACGATTTTACGAGCGAACGAGCCACCTGCGCGCGCGTGCAAATCGCGCAAAACGTGTTTGCTCATGTTTTTCGTCCGTGTGCAATAAACAAATAAATAAGAACGGTAATTAAATGCAACGTCGCGAGTCATTCGGTAAATTTAGCATGCACGGAGTCGTGCCAATTGATGCCGAAACGTTGCGCACGTTTTGCGGGACGATTTAATTGTTACGAAAGACTTGAATGCTGAATTGAATGCATGCGATGAGGCAACTAAACACAATGTTCACGTATGTTTACTTCGCACGCGGTCAGAAACACATGTGGAGTTTCTTCGGTGCCGACGAGTGAAAAACAAGCCGAGCGATTAAGCCAAGAACACAACCGGCGTGCTCGAGACAGCAAGCAAGCACTGCAACCGCATACACGCAGGTGTGTTCCAGTGTTCGCCAATCACCACACGCGTTGAAAGAAATTGCGCTATAAAACTGATGGATTACGTTACTACACACGCATTTGTTTACAATATTTTTTCGTTACATCTGCTGGAGAAAATTATGAATTTTCGCAGCGCACACACCCACACATAGATAATAAAACACACACACACGCAACACGTGAAACAAGTGTAGAAGAATAATAATCACGCTTATGCGCTCGAATCAGATGCAAGACGCATCGGATGCACTCGTTCGATGCGGGCGTTTGTTTTGTTGACGACTTGCACGTATAGTCGAGAACGCGTACGCGCGCACAACCGGCACCGGGCGTAGAGCGTTCGCCGCGCGAAGATCTACGAGACTAAAGAGTAGCGCGCGCCCGGGCTCCGGCTGGGCGGCGCGCGCTCCGTGCTGCTTCGCCGCGGTACGCACGCACGCGATCAGATGGTCGCGAGCGCCGCGCCGCGCACCGTGCTTCGCTTTGGTTCTGTTCAATTCGCTCGAGTTGAAAATTCAACATTGCTCGCCACTTGCTCATATGCACATGCACATCCACACATCTATTACTTTATGCATATTAGCATTCAAAATTGACTATGTACTTCACAAATTACGATCGAATTCAATCAACAATCAAATAATGTCGACTGCATGCATATTTGGCTGCCTACGTTCGCACATTTTAATGCAATCATTCAAAAACATGCAAATTTATTTACAGTTAACTGATACTTTCCGTGCACAACAATGCATATGCATAGATTCACTTGTTCTCAGACTTTGAACCCAGTAGTAGTATCCGGATAAAGGTAAAGATGCGTTTGCATTCTGTGTTCTGAATGCCATGCATAATGCATGTCGTTCTATGACAAAATGCGTCCGCTTCGTGGTCGCGATATGCACGCATGATGTGTTCGGCAATGGCCGGCGGATACACGATGTAGGCATTACGTCGTATTAGATAAACCCCTGTGTGCCGCGTCACCGCATGAATAAACATGCTCAAACTGCATCCTAACCGCCGCCTCAACCGCCACCACCACACACATACAACCAAACTAGTGTTTTATTCAATTAGAAATCAGAATATCGTTTCAACCGCAACATACACAGGCTAAGATGCCCGGTAACGTAACTTGTGTCATAACATAACCTCTATTTCGTAATTTAATGTTTGCTTTTCAACGTTTTCCAGTCAATTGAAAGATTTCCAACACCTGCTGATAATCAACGCGCACGTCAACGCCAGCAAGAATCAAAACTTTTCATTACGCCGCCCGCTCGCTCGACGAATCGACCGTGGGAGGTAAATCCTATTTTATACGTCATACTTACTCATAGCAAAAAAGGAAATTTACATGTCAAAAACATAATCGCACATGTATCAACCTGATTGCACGCTATCAACACACATCTGGCGAAAAAATCCACACACAAAACCCAACGTAAACATGTTTGCTGTTCGCGCGCTGCGAAACTCTGATGGAATCGTACAAAAGCTGACAAAAGGGTGCGAATACAGGTTATGTAAACCTCTAATAATAAACAAAAGTGGGTAACCATGAAGATGCACACACAATGCGCCGCAATTAAGTGTATAGTATTTATTTGCGTCTGCGTAAAAGGCTTTTAAATGCCCCACGGAGTAAGTTCACGTTGAGTAAGCATACTATGATGCTTGTTCTTGTTTCCTTAGCTACAAAAGTTTATTTTCCACACATGCACACACCGTCTAGGTCTACACAGGCATCGAAACAATCGTCACAATCATCGACACCGCACAACCTTGAATATCCGATCGCACTCATGACCTCAATATTGACATAACATTAATTACTCGCGCGCGAGCTCGGACGAAGAGCCCGGCCGTATTGTTTTCTGTTGTTGGTAAATTATCATAATTATTCGCTATCAATCATTGCATTGCTCTCTGCGCTGGGTGAAATAACTGCTGCCCGCGCGTCATATGTCTCATGTCGCGACCTTCTCTATAACATCGTAAACACTTAATTATTATAATTTAATTTCTATATAATTGGCAAATCAATTATAAAACCTGTCTTGCTTGGGCTTATTACAATCAAAACACAATAATAATTTAATAAAAGTGTTAGGTGCAAACATAACCTCAATTATGCGCTTGACATTTGACTCGGGTGACATTTAAGTATCAAGTTAAACCTGACACGACTTGATTTCAACCAGCGCGGCAATTGCAATTTCATTCAATCAAATATGCAACCAAATGTTCAATGTAAATGCCCCGCGTTTGCTAAGATTCGATGAGGAAAGTTATGCGCTCTTAGATAAATTCGTTAAAGTGGACGCGGAACATGCAGACAAAGTTGTTTCATAGTTGCACGTCCCGCAGGACGCGCTAACTTTGTTAACGGCGTTCGCCATCGCCTGCGGCATCGCGATTGGCTGACATAAAACTTTATGAATAAAAATTTAATCATGAACATTGCAAGTGCAGCCATATCTAACCGGGAGGCATCTAGTGTCAAGTAGAAGTAATTTAATCACTATGCTACAATGAAAGTGTATGGTATGCGGACAGTTGATGATTAGCACGTTCGCGCCACCTGGTGCCTAGACGTGAAAAGTAACATAATGAGTTTTGTTGTTTTGTTGAATGTTTGCACGTTGTTATTTTTATAGAGAATGCAATGCATTTTAAATAGTTTGTTGTGGCGTATAAATGGTTATTGCAGAGGCTGTGAACGAGTGTAAAAATACTCGCGGAACGCGCGTAGTGCGCGTCGGCCGCACGGCGACCTGCCTCAATGCAAATGGCGTTGCGCCGCCATCGATGCGGCGGCTTGCGACGCGACGCTTGCGAGTTGCGCCGAAATGACCACCTCAATTACGGCCATAATGTTTATCGTACGAAGTTAGTGTTGTCATCAATGTGTAAGTCCTAGTAGACTCAAGGAAAACATTTCAAAACAATGAATACTTAGATTTATCAAGAAAAACACGAAAACATGTTTGTTACTAGTCCGTTAATTACAATGGAAACTATATTATTAACCATCAACATAGTAAAAACCCATACAACTAATATACAATTACTCTAATCACGTGATTAACATAAAATGCAACACTGTACAAACATTAATGAAGCACAAGTTGCATACTTCCAAATTTAAACGCAAAAAAACAGAAAATAGTTTTATTTCTCCGCCGCGTTACTAAATTAGAAGACGATGTTTAAACACTCAGAGAATGACATTGTGCGCCTACTCTACTGTTCGCATTTCGGAAGCAAATGTAGGATGTGAGGACCCAAGCTTGCAAAGTAAAGTTACGCGGGCGCACGGCCAGCACTCACTCGACGAGTCGCAACTATGCGATTGACATTTTAGATTAGACCGAGAACTCGCAACTATGCGCGCGCGAGTCGCGAAGGCACCGGAAGCGTGCCGCCCGTAAATGCAAAGCAAATGTGGCGCAGTATAAAGCAAAAGCGCAAATATGTGCGTCGCATGCCGGGCTCGTCTCGGCTCGCCTCACTCAAAGTGCCACACGTCGAGTTATTACTTTACTCTATACACACAAACTCACACAGGGCTGAAATTAAAGCCAAAAGCTTGAATTAGAGCAGCTTACGATTTTCGCTGACAGTTTACTATCAATTTGTTGTATGAATTATTCCGCGCAGCAACTTGCACTGGTGCACCAACACGTGTATATCAATTAAAGCACGTTTCAACTTTAAATAAAGCACGCTGTAAAAAAAAACTATTCGCAAATGGAAACAATGCGTCACAATGGAATCCGATTGTTTAAACGGACAATAAATTTTTATAAAGCGAATTTAATCGAATTATAAATTAATTACGCCGATGAATCACACTGTTGTAATTTGCAGCAGCCGGTAGTGTTGACTCAGTGCCACCTGGTGACTAGCTACAGTTGATTAAATTTGTAAACACGTGTACGAAGTTGCCTAAATTTAAAAATATCCACACCGTGTGCAATTGACTTGTTAATCGATGAGAGGTCAAATACGATGGCGATTGTTTGCCGATAGTTTTGAACTGTAACACGAATTAAACCGTTAGCAGTGTGGTAGTTGACCACAATCTAACTTTATAATGTCTCAAGTTCCTGAAGTGATTATAGCAGAAGTCAGTTTTAATCAGCATTATATTATCTTGCGAGTTATATTATTTTTATCGCGGTTGGCACGCCGACAAGTTATTAGATAAATAGGAGGTAAAAACGGAGAAAAACGCGCATAATGTGAAGTAATTGCGAATTAAACGACGACGCCTCGAAGATGTGTCATGGGAGCGTGTTCGTTACGGTCCTGCGCGCGCGTGCCCTTCGGCGTTTTGCTCGTTTGGCGTGTGGCGTGAGAAAACGAGAAAAGCTCCGTGAGCAATAAGACTTCGCTCGGACGGTGTCTGGGAAACGGAGGAAGATTTTCGTGTCGCGTTGGCGGGTGCAATTCCTTAATACGGATAAATTTAATGAATATTTTATAGCTACAACATTTTCAAAAACATTATTTTTATAAAATCAGCAGTAAAATAATATTTTATGGCTTAAACATTTTAAAATATCACTAAAATAGCCCATAAAAATAAAACAAACAAAAAACAACGAAACAGTATAAAGGTATCTACACAGGCGTCGCAAAAATGTGGAAACAGGAAATTGGCTGCATCTTGATCCTGCCCCGACGAAAAAGACAAACGCGCCTCAAAACTAGGTTAAACGAGTTATTCGGAGATTGTAATTCGAATTCTATTTGATTATTTCATAAGGTCGTTACAAGCGCGCGTTCAGCATGCGGTCAGGATGCATTTCGTACAAAGCGCTTTCGCGAAGCGGGAAACGCTTTCCTACATTCGACATTTCTTTATGACTTATTTGGAATCTCGGGCGAGCGCCGCGTGCCGAATGCAATTTAAATTAAATTTACGCTCGCAATGTTAATTAGTGCAATTGACGTCTTTCATCCTGACGTCAATGAAGTAATAATAAAAAACGAAAGAATGTTTTATAGCGCACGATTGTATAATAAGCTTTGCTAATCAACTTTTCATTGTTTCACAACATGCATCAAACAGCGCCATCTGCAAACAGTTAGCTGTGCAATAACAATTCGACGTTTACATAAAACATAACCTTAATTTATAAGCAGAAACACGGTATAAAAATAAATAACAGCCCTTAAAATACACACAGGATACGTATGTTGCCTAAGAATAGTAACGACTACATTGTGTTGTTGTAAAGCGAGGGGTGAGTTTGAGTTGTGTTTCCTTTTGCTTCATTTTTATGGTTCATTGTTCATTGTTTACTTCAACGCTAGCATACACTCAACAATATTATATAATTCTAAAAATAGTGTGATTAATAGCACGGCGGTGGCGTGCACTTTTAATTGCATTCCGACACGTTGCTCGTTCCCGCCCGGCGCCTCCACCATTTTGCATTTTATTTTCAGTACATTTACGTATGCTGTGCACATATTTGTTTATAAAAAAAAGAAACACCTAGGCACATACGCGTAAGAAAGCAAATTTAATAAATGTATCGTTAGAATTTATTATTGTTTCACGTAAATAAGCCATTTTGTCGTGTTGGCCAAGCAGTTCATTAATATTCGTTATAAATAAAACATTCAACATTTGCATTTTCTATTTTCGCATAATCTCGGAATTGGAATTGAAATTTCTTTTTCTATTACTATTTTAGTTGTTGTAGGGTTTGTTTGTGAAAAAATGTTTTGACTTTCGTTTGACGTCATTACGTAAATCTGCATAAACTCGATTCGCTACTTGTACTTCAATGTTTTTGTTTGAAAAACGGAAACGTTAAGAGCGCATTAAAAATAAGCATGTTAGTAGCTTTTCTTGTGAAGAAAACGACAACGTTTGTGCTTTGCGACTTTATCCGCTTTGGTTCCACAGAAGATTCGCTTTCGGCGAATGGCAACGAAAGTCACAAAGTCAAGTTTGCTTCCAGCGACCTTTTGAAACAAAGAAAGCAATAAAAAATGACATGACATAAACCAATAGTGAAATAAATAGAATAAAATATAATCATTAATTTAATAATTATTTGCAAACAAGTGGTAGATATGTAAAAATTCAGTTTTCCAAATCCTGCGCAATACAAATAAAGTAAAACTAATGTTTGCGCGAATTTGCGGCGCGTTTTGTATTCACTGCATGTTTACTCGTGCAAGTTCATATTTTACTTTTGCGCGCATCGCGTTTATTTTATTTCGGTTTCGTGCGAATGCAAATCGCGCGCGTATGACTTGCTGCATCGTCGTGGCGCGCGCCG